GGGAGACATATTAGTGAAAATAAAGAAATTAAATGTTAGGTTTAACGACCTGTCAACATTTAGTGGGTAGGCATTGTCCGACTTCTTCCACTGACACCGCAGGTCGGTGGCTTTTCTGCAGGATCTCCAGCTTTCCTCCACCACTCAAACCTGACACGTGCCTGGCTGTTAAAAGGAAGTGAAGCAACACTAAAGGCGTCATCATCTCAATCAATCCGTACATATCATCCTCAGGAATGTTATCCAACTTTATATCATTTACTCTTTGGTACCAGGTTTCTGATCAAGTCTTTTGAGGTTGCGTGATGTCTTCTACAACTGGACAAGACTAAGCACAAGTTTGCTTTTTTCACGATTATGTTCAAGACAAATGAGTGTCAAATCAATAGCGCGTGCTTTAGTGAAGAAAAATTGAAGACATGTTGTTCTTGATGCAGCGACTCTTGCCCCTACGTTAGAACCAACATGAATGACAGGACTGTGAGAGATAGTTTGATAGGAATTCTAAGACCTCTTTCGACTTGTCATCTATTATGAGAATTTCTATCGATCATCTACTGGTTGTGTTATAAGAACTTACATCAATGTTCTACTGGTTGTGTTATAAAAACTTCCATCAATGTTCTACTGGTTGTGTTATAAAAACTTCCATCAATGTTCTACTGGTTGTGTTATAAGAACTTCCATCAATGTTCTACTGGTTGTGTTATAAAAACTTCCATCAATGTTCTACTGGTTGTGTTATAAGAACTTCCATCAATGTTCTACTGGTTGTGTTATAAGAACTTCCATCAATGTTCTACTGGTTGTGTTATAAAAACTTCCATCGATATTCTACTGGTTGTGTTGTAAGAATTTTACTTGATCTGATTTTTCACAATTAATTGCGCTGTCTTCCTGAAGTCGCCCATGGAGATGTAAAACAATGGACAATAAAAAAGAAAACATATACAAGGTTCGGTATTCAAGAATGAAACCGGAAATCAAAAATTGATACAAATACACAATAGGAACTTAGGCAAAACCAATGGAATCGTGAAACAAAAGCAGGACCAACGAAAGACAGCAGACGAAAGCTGACATGTGATCGTAAGAGCCACTACCCCACTTTTGGTCTTAATATCAACATCAAATCCTTACTATCACAAGAAGCCATTCTGATCTCTCAGAGTTACTTCCCTTCATTTCACTCCGTCAGTACATGCTGATCTTCCAGAGTTACTTCCCTTCGTTTCACTCTCTAAGCCAAACAGTTGATGGGACTGCGAAGGAAAGAGGGTTGCTTGATCATGTCTCCCATAAACACGCGCACACATCACGCACTTACGTCGTATACATTAGGAGGGCATCCTTGATAAAATGGCCTTGACTATTCAGTGCAAAACTAGATCAAAATGTTTTCCTAAACACGAAGAAGTGTAACTGTGTCCTGTTTAGCTATACATTTGACATGATTTAGTCACTAGTCAGGTCACTGGTTTGGCATTACGGACGAGGCTCAGTTTCAGGGTTTCTTTAGCTTATTTTTCTTACAATGTACAATATGTCCATGTGATGTACTCTCAACATCACTGACCATTTACCTGTCTTTGCTGGCTAACCTTACCAGAGACGTATATATCGTGTTATATGTATCTGACCTTACCGACCAAGAGTAAGAACCGTATTGCAACGTTCAACAAATCCCCGTAATAGTCTTTCCTTCCAAGCGAAATTATCAAATCTGTCAAAGAACGGAGAAGTTTGAATAGAGGTGTCACGAATGAATTACACAGCCGTGGAATGTCCAAGAGAATAATGCATTTTTTTTATGAGATTTGTCCTCGAAAGACTTGTAGAGTTAACACGTGTGGTTTGTACTGATGAGAATGCAGTTTGTTATGCTATTACTAGATTTGGTTCTCTACTACTAGTAATTCTTTCCAACACAAGTTTACAGTCTGAGGTAGATAGATATACTTCTTGGATATGACAAGTAGCATGTAGATGGGAGCACAAATTGTTTCATGAATAGGCACAATGTTTTAGTAGCTGTTTTCTTCTTTCTTATCTATTTCTGTTTATGCAAAGAATGAACAAAAGCTGGAACCATTTGATAATTTATTAATCTAGTATAACACACAAATACAATATTGTAACAGTAATAAAATGCAGTATTTGGAGGATGTAAATATCAACATAAGTGCAATAAATATTATGGTACCTTGCATGTTACCCTTCAAGACTGGACCTGACAATAATATTCAATGCTTTCTTGTCATATTGCATATCATAAAAAATACCATGGGTGTTTGGTACTTAATAAGAAGGCTGGATTAAGTGTATGTGTCTGTAGTAGATTATGTAAACTAGATCCAATGTTAGGTGTAACCTTTGTTCAATGTTTGGTACTTACCAAGTGTAACCTGTGTGTGGTCATTATGTTTGGTACTTACCAAGGAGTGTGTGTGTGTTAGTTCATGTGTATCTGTGTGTGTTCAAGGTTCAGTGTGTGTGTGTGTGGATAGATTATGTATGTAAATGTTTGGTGTATTTGTGTGTGTGGTAGATTATGTAAGCTAGATCCAATGTTAGGTGTAACCTTTGTTCAATGTTTGGTACTTACCAAGGAGGGCTGGGTTCAGTGTATCTGTGTGTGTGTGTTAGATTATGTAAACTAGATCCAATGTTAGGTGTAACCTTTGTTCAAGGTTCAGTGTATCTGTGTGTGTGTGGTAGATTATGTAAGCTAGATCCAATGTTTGGTGTATTTGTGTGTGTGGTTGATTATGTAAGCTAGATCCAATGTTAGGTGTAACCTTTGTTCAAGGTTCAGTGTATCTGTGTGTGTGTGGTAGATTATGTAAGCTAGATCCAATGTTTGGTGTATTTGTGTGTGTGGTAGATTATGTAAGCTAGATCCAATGTGGTAGATTATGTAAACTAGATCCAATGTTAGGTGTAACCTTTGTTCAATGTTTGTGTGTGTGTGGTAGTACTTACCAAGGAGTTCAATGGCTGGGTGTGTGTGTGTGTGGTAGTGTATCTGTGTGTGTGTGTGTGTGGTAGATTATGTAAACTAGATCCAATGTTAGGTGTAACCTTTGTTCAATGTTTGGTACTTACCAAGGAGGGCTGGGTTCAGTGTATCTGTGTGTGTATGTGTGTGTGGTAGATTATGTAAACTAGATCCAATGTTAGGTGTAACCTTTGTTCAATGTTTGGTACTTACCAAGGAGGGCTGGGTTCAGTGTATCTGTGTGTGTGTGGTAGATTATGTAAACTAGATCCAATGTTAGGTGTAACCTTTGTTCAATGTTTGGTACTTACCAAGGAGGGCTGGGTTCAGTGTATCTGTGTGTGTGTGGTAGATTATGTAAACTAGATCCAATGTTAGGTGTAACCTTTGTTCAACGCTGACTTCATTTGATCATGATGTTAAAAAACATCTGTGATTTGTACTTTTTATTTAAATCAGAAATATTTTTGATAAAATACTTTTGCTGTTCATAATTTAGACATGAATGTTTCCAACACTTTGGCACTGATATCAATTACAAAGCAAAGCTGTAAAATTTAAATGAACATGTACAGACAAAATAACCAAGTTACGAAAGTGTAGAGAAAATTAAGCATGTGTTTGAGTATTATACAATATACTACAGAAATAATATGTGACAATATAATTCTATAGTTTATTTTTATACATAACATTTATACAATATAACATCAGGTTTGACATGCATAAGCATTTTACCCAGGTTACAAGCTAATTGGTCTCGAACTTTTGACCTTGAATGTCATCTAATTCAATTAACTTCTCGAGCCTCTGTTGTTGTATACTGCAAGACAAAGTCAATATCATAGAATTACAGTTTCAAAAAATTTAAGAGATATACAAGTGACAAGCTCAAAGACATCCATAACATAGCAATGAAAGTAAATATAACATGATGAGAATATGTCACTACGTGCTCAAAAAAAAAAAAAAAAAAAACAGACAGAAAAGGAGTTAAAAATCATCACACAGGTAACTTTTTACAGAGTAAAGGTAGCACACTGAACTGAACATTAATGAGTCATAACAATGATTCCTATTTATAAATACAATGGTAACACCTGAGGTACAGAGTTCTACAAATAATATAAAAATCACACAGTATTGACAGAAATTCTTCTACATTTATAAGCCTTACAAAGTTAGAAGATGAATTCACAAACACATGGTTTTACTTTCTTAAATTAGTGAAAGGCATATTTACATACTGCTACACAATCTTTTCTTGAATATTTTTGAGATTGTACAGGTGAATTTCAGACAAGTCTAAATGTGATAATGGAATACCCAAAGTTCTGCATCATGATATTGAGACCTAAAACACTTGTGCTGTTGACCATAGGAATAGTGAGACAGAAATGTACTGGCCAGTTTTCTTGTCTGACAGGATAGAATTGCAGAACAACATGAAAACAACAAAGAAAAGCCAACATCCTAATGGAATCACAATTAAAAAAAATTGATGAAACTTGGGCAAAATCTGAACATCATATGGTGTTATCTATAGTTATTTGGTTATTTCAAAATACGTATATGCAAATTACATTATAGACATTCATGCAATTTGGTCCAAGAAGTCACACAGAATGATTAAAACCCAAATATATTTATGAACAATGGTTGTACGTAACATCTACACTAGAACATGCATCTAACATTGCTTTACATGGTCAGAAATATTACATTGCTTTACATGGTCAGAAATATTACATTATTTTAACATGGTCAGAAATATTACATTATTTTAACATGGTCAGAAATATTACATTGTTTTACATGGTCAGAAATATTACATTGTTTTACATGGTCAGAAATATTACATTGTTTTACATGGTCAGAAATATTACATTGTTTTACATGGTCAGAAATATTACTGTACTGTTAAAAATGGTACACAATGTACAGTAGTCTAGCTTTAATCACTGAAATGGCAATTTACGACAAAATAATTATTGGACTCTAAAATCAATAAATTGCATAAAATTGTTTTGCTAATATAATAGGATAACATAAAAACATGTTAATCTAATTCAACAAATCTCAGTAAAAAAGGTAGTACCAGTCTTAATAAGGTACAAGTTAAAACTTCAGGAAGCTTGTTTAGTATTACAGATCTATGATAATGTATAATGTTAACAAGACTTAGGGAGCATGATAATAAAATCTGATGTATTTAAAACAGATAATACTTATTGCTATCCGAAAGTAGTCACAATGAAGGGGAGATAACCATGTTTTTCAGAGATCACCAGTAACACCAAATCTTGGTTGATGAAGAATACAGTGCAGATAACACTGGGATCACTTCATTTACATTTCACATCTTAAATAATTTCTAGGTATTATGCGAAAAGTTTTGGTAAAGCCTTTTTCTTTTTCACATGTTTTACAGTTAAGGCTGTTCATTAATATCAGTTGAAATATCTATCCACAAAGACAACATAAATTCACCTACTATTTTACAAATCATTTCACTTATATTACTGTATTACTGTATACTTACAAATAAAATTACAATAATTGACATTAACAAAGCAAAACAAGTTGCTAAAGAATACAATGTCCTTTTTGTAACAGAAATGAAGTAGCCATCTTCTCTCAATGACGGTATCTTGTTGTAGTATTTTTTTCCCTTTTCTGTCTATCTTGGCCATCCTATAATGTTCTGTGACAGAAATAGAGCCTACGTACATCCTGCCTCTTTGCTGTTTAATCTCTCTTCCACCATCTACCTGAAAAAAATTATACAACATCTGATGATTCTCAGTGTTCTTGTGTTTGTGCTTTCGCTATTATTGTAGTTGATGATTGTCTATAAATCACAGTACCATTGTAGCCACAGCCATCATTTGTACAGTGCTCTTTGACTTAACAAATTTGCATCCCATGTTCAGTTAAAATCTCTTTTTGACAAATACTACTTTAAAGAAAATTTTGATGACAAGCCAAAGTAATGGATTGTACATATCACATAATGGTATATGTGTCCTTGGACAGGTCATCTAAACAGTGTTTTTAATATTAATTACTTACTAGGAAAGTTCACTTTTTGTATTGGTTCCTCAACGTCTAAAAAGTCCTTGAAGCGATCACTGAACGAATTTTCAGGATTTTCACTGAAACTGAAACAAACAATAGGTTATCAAACAACTGTGCACCAATCTATAGATCAGAACGCCCCCTTCAATATCATCACAGAAAACACTATCATCTAAATCATGTATAGAAAACACTATCATATATACATTTTGTACAGAAAACACTATCATATATACATCTTGTACAGAAAACACTATCATATATACATCTTGTACAGAAAACACTATCATCTAAATCTTGTACAGAAAACACTATCATCTAAATCTTGTACAGAAAACACTATCATATATACATCTTGTACAGAAAACACTATCATATATAAATCTTGTACAGAAAACACTATCATCTAAATCTTGTACAGAAAACACTATCATCTAAATCTTGTACAGAAAACACGATCATATATACATCTTGTAAAGAAAACACTATCATATGTACATCTTGTACAGAAAACACTATCATCTAAATCTTGTACAGAAAACACTATCATATATACATTTTGTACAGAAAACACTATCATATATACATCTTGTACAGAAAACACTATCATATATACATCTTGTACAGAAAACACTATCATCTAAATCTTGTACAGAAAACACTATCATCTAAATCTTGTACAGAAAACACTATCATATATACATCTTGTACAGAAAACACTATCATATATAAATCTTGTACAGAAAACACTATCATCTAAATCTTGTACAGAAAACACTATCATCTAAATCTTGTACAGAAAACACGATCATATATACATCTTGTAAAGAAAACACTATCATATGTACATCTTGTACAGAAAACACTATCATCTAAATCTTGTACAGAAAACACTATCATATATACATCTTGTACAGAAAACACTATCATATATACATCTTGTACAGAAAACACTATCATATGTAAATCTTGTACAGAAAACACTATCATATATACATCTTGTACAGAAAACACTATCATATGTAAATCTTGTACAGAAAACACTATCATTGTACAGAAAACACTATCATCTAAATCTTGTACAGAAAACACTATATATAAATCTTGTACAGAAAACACTATCATATATACATCTTGTACAGAAAACACTATCATATATACATCTTGTACAGAAAACACTATCATCTAAATCTTGTACAGAAAACACTATCATCTAAATCTTGTACAGAAAACACTATCATATATACATCTTGTACAGAAAACACTATCATATGTAAATCTTGTACAGAAAACACTATCATATATACATCTTGTACAGAAAACACTATCATATATACATATATACATCTTGTACAGAAAACACTATCATATATACATCTTGTACAGAAAACACTATCATATGTAAATCTTGTACAGAAAACACTATCATATATACATCTTGTACAGAAAACGCTATCATATATACATCTTGTACAGAAAACATTATCATCTAAATCTTGTACAGAAAACACTATCATCTAAATCTTGTACAGAAAACACTATCATATATAAATCTTGTACAGAAAACACGATCATATATACATCTTGTACAGAAAACACTATCATATATACATCTTGTACAGAAAACACTATCATCTAAATCTTGTACAGAAAACACTATCATCTAAATCTTGTACAGAAAACACTATCATATATACATCTTGTACAGAAAACACTATCATATGTAAATCTTGTACAGAAAACACTATCATATATACATCTTGTACAGAAAACACTATCATCTAAATCTTGTACAGAAAACACTATCATCTAAATCTTGTACAGAAAACACTATCATATATACATCTTGTACAGAAAACACTATCATATGTAAATCTTGTACAGAAAACTATCATATATACATCTTGTACAGAAAACACTATCATCTAAATCTTGTACAGAAAACACTATCATCTAAATCTTGTACAGAAAACACTATCATCTAAATCTTGTACAGAAAACACTATCATATATAAATGTTGTATAGAAAACACTATCATATATACATCTTGTACAGAAAACACTATCATATATAAATCTTGTACAGAAAACACTATCATCTAAATCTTGTACAGAAAACACTATATATAAATCTTGTACAGAAAACACTATCATATATACATCTTGTACAGAAAACACTATCATATATACATCTTGTACAGAAAACACTATCATCTAAATCTTGTACAGAAAACACTATCATCTAAATCTTGTACAGAAAACACTATATATAAATCTTGTACAGAAAACACTATCATATATACATCTTGTACAGAAAACACTATCATATATACATCTTGTACAGAAAACACTATCATATATACATCTTGTACAGAAAACATTATCATCTAAATCTTGTACAGAAAACACTATCATCTAAATCTTGTACAGAAAACACTATCATCTAAATCTTGTACAGAAAACACTATATATAAATCTTGTATAGAAAACACTATCATATATACATCTTGTACAGAAAACACTATCATATATAAATCTTGTACAGAAAACACTATCATCTAAATCTTGTACAGAAAACACTATATATAAATCTTGTATAGAAAATGCTATCATATATACATCTTGTACAGAAAACACTATCATATATACATCTTGTACAGAAAACACTATCATCTAAATCTTGTACAGAAAACACTATCATCTAAATCTTGTACAGAAAACACTATATATAAATATACAGAAAACACTATCATATATACATCTTGTACAGAAAACACTATCATATATACATCTTGTACAGAAAACACTATCATATATACATCTTGTACAGAAAACATTATCATCTAAATCTTGTACAAAAACACTATCATCTAAATCTTGTACAGAAAACACTATCATCTAAATCTTGTATATATATATAAATCTTGTATAGAAAACACTATCATATATACATCTTGTACAGAAAACACTATCATATATAAATCTTGTACAGAAAACACTATCATCTAAATCTTGTACAGAAAACACTATATATAAATCTTGTATAGAAAATGCTATCATATATACATCTTGTACAGAAGTGTCTGAAGTCAATATCATATACAGCAATAAAACTCTTTAGACTTTGTTCTTACATTTGAGGTCCTTTTCTTTGTCACATTTATTTACTTTTTGATTTTGATCTGAATTCTTGAGGAGCAGAATTAAGACTTACCAGTCATGATCTTCTGCTGACTGCCACACTTCGTACACGGAGAATACTCCAGAGTCAGTACAGAACTGTACACTTATACTAAAAACAGATACATACAAGGTCAATGTTACTGATGATATCAAAAATACAAGCCATGTTATAATCATTAAATCACAATGAGAAACACATAGAAGATCTGAGGTCTACTTTAACCAACAAAATATGTGGATTTTTTAATCAGAAAAAAATACATTTTAAGGAAAACAATACGAAGTCTAAAAGAGTTATCTCCCATTACTTGAATATGTTTGTGAAATGTGTTTATGTTCCCACCTGGTGCTCGGTAAGAAACATTTGAGATGCTAAGTCTCACCGAAGCGAACACAAAGTCAAACCAAAGCCAGATATATAGGTCACAGTGACCTATAGATAACCTAGCAGTGAAGCTCAGGAAAAAACATGTCAAGTTTTCAAAACTTATAATGCACAATTGTGGTAGAGTCAGTCTGGCCAGGATTCCATTACATCTGTCATAATATACAAATCTAAGTGTGTTTTTATTAATGTGATTTTAATAAATAATAGTGTTGTCATGTTTAATGTGCAGCTATGATTGCAGACAATTAATTGTCCGGTCTGGTTTGTTTTAAAGGCTCATTCCCCTAACACCAACTCTGCCAACTTGAAAGGAAGGTGTTTATATAGGAAACCTTTGAAGCTAAAGTTATAGTCTGTTTCAACTTGTATTTGTAAATAGGATACTTACATATCAATAATGAAAAAAGTTTCTATTTGTTTTACATCATTGTAACACAATTTGTAGCATATAAAAGATGGAGAAGCTCGGATGCTGAATCAGCATAGGTCAGGTCGATCGTCCCAGTCTGATAATGGTCCTTCAAGGTGGCCAGGCGTCTGTCAATGTTGGCGTATTTCTTCTTCCGGGGTTGAATGGTGCCTCCTATACTCTCTGAATCTGGCTAATATCATTCATGTTCTGTATGTCCTTAAGCGTCTGGATGATGGTGTATATGTTGGGGTGGACATGCAATACCTTCTTCTTTAGTTTTCCTTACCAAGCTTCAGGATGGTTGATAGTCCGGGGTCTCTGTTGAGAAGTGGTTCCAGGTTGTTTGATATCCCCCTATCTATTGCTCTGTGACGTAATCTGTGAATGATAACACAGGATGTGTGATGTCAGCATCATCAGCATCATCAAAGGTTTGTAACCAGACGTCTTTAATGCGGTTTAAGGGGATGAGTGGCAGAACTGCAGCTTGGCGTACAAGTAGTTTGACGTCATCGTTGTCACGGCCTTGGTAGTGTCATCCCAGTCGTCTCGGAGTTGGTTGAGCTCCTTTTCAAAGATGGACGGAATGGGTTGGACAGATTCTACGCATTTATTGGTGATCTGGTTCATGAACTGTTTGGCTACAACACTGGCTGGGTCTGAGGTGTGGTTGTGTGGATTTCTTCCAAAGTTAGCTGGTATGTTGTCTACTGTCGAGAGGGATGCTGAACATCTCCAGAATGTCCTGGTGCCGTTGCTCTGAATCTGTCTCTAGATGAATCCGTTATGCGAAAGGTTCTGCCTGCCTCTTTTGTTGGTGATGAACTTAACATTGATCTGAGTGTTAGTCATCCTGTACTTGTATCAAACCACACAGATAATAATATCTCTCAAATTAAACACACACTACACAACGCTGGAAAAAGGGTACAAGATTAACTCATATATGTGACAAAAGTCAAGTAATAAATCAGGCAATGAGAAAGCGATGCTTCAAAGTGCAGATTGAAACATAATAATTCTCCAAAATGTAATGGGCCTTTATTTTCCCCATTGAACAGCTTGGGATTGGAACAGTTTTATATTTGATTCCTTTATTTTACAGTTAATAACAGTTTTCAGTTTTCTGAACAGTTATCAGAATCAGAACTTAATCATCTGATTTACCTGTTTTCTGAACAGTTATCAGAATTTACCTGTGCAAGTTACCTGTACTACAATTCTAAAACAGCCTATAATCCACTATCATCGCAGTTGACCTCCTATGTAAACATGTTGTCATATACAGAGTTGGTGTTCGGGGAAGACCCCTCTGATTTTCTTGTACAAGTTACCTGTACAACAATTCTGCACCAGACTATAACTCACTATCATCACAACTGACCTCTTATGTTAACATGTTGTCATAGGCAGAGTTGGTGTTCAGGGCAGACCCCGTTTTAAAGTCCTATCATGTGTCACTGTCTTTGTTGTGAAGTTCCATGTGCTTGTGTTTATGTTTTGTGTTCTGTGACCCTTGACCTTACTTGTATAACTATTCACCTGTCATGTGACCTACCCACATTCTCTACACCTGACCTACCCTACACATGCAGAGCTGGGGCAGAACTGTCCAGATCAATTTTGGGAATGGACTTCTTTTAACAACCAGGTAAAATTATTATATTGTATTGAGTATTAATATTTAAAACTTACATATATATAATGATGAAAAGTGCTCAGTTTGTCAGCCATATTGAAAATAATTTGTGGAATGTATTTATTTACCATTTATACATCTATCGCTGTATGTGATATTGTGGTACTAGAGATATCCTCTCTATAATGTTATGTTGTCTTTCTATTTTATTATGTTTAACAGGTTAAAAGAGTTTTGAAAGAAAGATATTGGAAGTTGCGAATCTCTGTCACATTGATAGAGTAAGTTAAATATTTGGTGTAAATGTTTGTAACTGCTGTATAAGTATACCACTATCATCTTGTGATGTATCTTTTGTAATGTATTCTAAACTTTAAACTAATTTATGTCAGTGTATGTAATTTTGTTGTTTTATCTGGACAAGTTACGTTTCTGTGGAAAGTTTGTAAAGATGTTGTATTGTTGTATTACCATGTTTTGTGTATTAATGTGTCAATTTCTATTGTTTTTGAGATTCTAAAGCAACCACAAAATAGATAGGTGAAAAGAAGAACTGTGTCAGCGTTGTGCCTCCGCCCAAAATCCCAGCCCGTTTTACAATTATAGAGAAAAAGTAACTTCATGCTCTTTATGTATGGATTTACAGTTTTGAGTAGATGCTTAACGCCCCTCCTCTACCAAGTGGAAGTTTTTAACTGTTACACAGAAAAACACACAAAGGGAAATAAAGTGAATCTGATTCTTTGTTTATAATTTATAACTTTCTTTTTATTTCCCAATTCATCATGAGTGTTAAAGCATTACCTGCAGGATTTATCTAGGAAAACCATATTCAAAGGAATTCAGGTTCTAGAAAGTTATACCCAAAGCCTTGGTGTGGATACCATGGATTTAGCTTCTCAAATAAAATATTCTCACATGTCAAATTGTAGTCTCCTGGAGTCACAATGGACATTAAAAGGTGGTCCCATCCCTAGTCAAACAGATCAGACAGGACTACCTCTATTTATAACAGGATCATATACCACAGACAGGACTACCTCTATTTATAACAGGATCATATACCACAGACAGGACTACCTCTATTTATAACAGGATCATATACCACAGACAGGACTACCTCTATCTATAACAGGATCACATACCACAGACAGGACATTCTAGGAGTTTTGTCTCATTTCTTGCCAAACTGACCAGATACCCGATATAAACTTACCTAAGACAGGGTAGTAACTTCTGTGTGTCCTCTATGTAATCCCTCAGACTGGTTCTAAACACATCCTTCGAATCCTCTTTAACTTTCATATCCCGCTGTAATAGTAGCAACTGTAACAGAAATGTTAGGTTCATTCTTAAGAAGGGGAAATACTAAGACTGCTTTTATCATAAATAGCCTGAGTTACCAATAGCTCTTGATGTTAGACATTCTAACAGGTGTCTATGTCTGTATCCACATCAGATATCTGTGGGAGTCAGAACAAACTCAAGTTAAAAGTACACATTTCCTCTGACTCCTAAACTGGACGTTACACATTTTGACAGGTGTATACAACTGTATCCACATCAGATATCTATGGGAGCCAGAACAAACTCTCCTAAAAAAAGTTTATTTTGATAAGTCAATAGACAACATTTGAATTGTTATCATGTCTTACCTTGTCACTCTCTACAGCATTCAGGTCTTCATCAACAAAGTTCCCTAAATCTACCTGTCAACAAAAAACAATCCTATATTATTACATCACCAAGCATGTTATCATTGATCAACAAGACATTTGTATACTAACATATCAATCTTCAATCTTATGTAAATTTAGATAACTGACACAACTCCTTGTCCTAATGTGGAAAGGATTCCTCCTTTACTCATCCACCTGTCCGTCTAATGTAAACATATTATTTTATATCTATAATTATAACCAAGTATCACAGATATACTTCTAAATTCAAGTTATTATGAGACGAAAATTCTGCAAAATCACTGTTGACGGACATGCCCCAGCCATTATCTTAGCACTTTGAGCTAGCATATTCCACTTTATGGTAAAGCATTCCTAGCGCTTTGAGCTAGCATATTCCACTTTATGGTAAAGCATTCCTAGCACTTTGAGCTAGCATATTCCACTTTATGGTAAAGCATTCCTAGCACTTTGAGCTAGCATATTCCACTTTATGGTAAAGCATTCCTAGCTCTTTGAGCTAGCATATTCCACTTTAAAGCATGCATTTTGTAATATTCCACTTTATGGTAAAGCATTCCTAGCACTTTTAAAAGTTACATTTTCCCTTTATACATATTCACCGTAATGTAGCATTTTTAGCAATTTTTGTTCTAAATATTTGAGCTATACTTGCTCTCATTACCTTTTCAGTGTAATGTTGTATGTAGCATGCAGAAACACTTCTGGCTAGACTAGCCGTCAACAGAATGACAGTGTAAACTGTAAACTAATGGCGGCCAGCCTAGCCAGCTTAAACATTTTAACCAATAATAAAACCATGGAATGCTGCTCCATCTTCTGTCATTTACTATCAAATTAGTGCACGGAATAAAGAATAGGAAGAACAATATCGGTAATATGTTATCTGTATTTGTTTATGTATTTTGGAATAACCATAATATGTTGTATGTTTACAAATTTTGACCACTAATTGTGTATGAAAACTTTTCATTAGAAGATCCATTCTACTGACACTGTGTTCCAATCTGTTGAGTAACTGGGTTAGTCTGTCAACCTGAGAGGTCAAGGCCAAAGGGTTCACAGAGTTCGTCAGTCCTGTAATAAACACAATACATTATTCTAGCTATATATGTACAATTTCACACAATTATATCATTACCATTACAGAACATTTCCTTAAGTCAGTTATAGAAAAGAAATTTTTATAACACATCCAGTAGATGATTTGAGTAAGGCATTTCACTGACTAGGTGATCAACTTCATCAGACGAAGATGTCGTTGTGTAGGAGATGGTAAAAAATCTGCCAACTTTTTGGTTTTACTATAATCCCATGTATACTTAGGTAAATTATAATGTGACTAGATTATAGAAAAAAGGACACAACATGGTAGCAATGACTGTAATACTTAGAGATCTCTTGAGACAACAACTTATGGAAACAAACTGTGCTCTTTTCTTGGTTAACTTGTTTTCATGGATTCATCAAGCAGGTCATGAAGATTTTGCCAATCCCTTCAAATTCAACTTTCAGATATACTGGTGTTTTGTCTTTAAATAAATTATTGACCACTTCCATTGTACATCTGCACCAGAATTGGAAATCAAATAAATGACAAACTTTTCCTCATAGTGGCTTACACTGATTTCTTCCTACAATAAAACCAACACACAGCATTACATCAAGCTGTATGATATGCATGACTTTGCCTATTGTGAATTTCCCATTTCTGTATTACTAATGTATGGTGTTAAATTGTTGCAGCTGATAAAATATTTTAGAGCCTGTTTGCAATACAGTGGACCCACTTAATGTCACTTCTGTTAATATCACTTTCCAGTTAATGTCACGTTTTCTTGAAACATTGACTTTTTCCCTTTATAGTCTATGTTATCCAACATCTGATAATGTCACTTATTTTCATGTGGGCAATGCTTAATACCACTTCATTTTGCTGACTATCACTAAAAACCCACAGGCTAATCACAGGGAAGTGAGGACTGGGTCTATGGACACATTATTCCAAACATGTGACTGCCCTACTAACCAACTTTTTTATCAGCTAGTGCTTTCCAAGTGTTTAAATGGGTTTTAAACCCTTGTCACTTGGACCTTGTGATGATGAAACCAAATGTTAGAGTGTAAAAATACCGCTAAATTTTCTGATGTGCTGCCGAAACTTCTTGGAAATAAGCCTTTAGTATGTATACCGGAATCAATTTCAAAACAACAAAGATTACTTTGCACAAGACATTTTAGAAAATAATCAACCATGAACTGGTATTTAGGACATGCGTTGTTACGAATGGCACCATCTTTAACATTTATGAGAAAACATTTCCAAAACGAAGCTTACAATGCTAAATTAACCACTTTGAATTTCAGGTTTCGATTACATCTTTGCTGATAGCATAATAATTTTTCCCAGACAATTCATACAGAGTTCAAAACGAATTGTATGGAAGATTGGAAACTCAATTGGTCATAATATCAGAATATTGACATTTTAATATTTCTTCAAATCATTTTAATTATTACGAGCACTGGCACCCGACAGTAAAATGTTCTGATACCAGGTTTTCCCTATGCCGTGTTTCACAACATCTGATTGGCCATTAAAAATAACAGCTAGGTAATTTAACATCCAATGAAATGTGGTGTTTCAAAGATGAACAGTTCACACTCTGTTGGATATTTTTTTCAACAAGGATCAAGTTGTGATCGTCAGAACACACTTTATCTAAGTAACAGAGATACACACTGTATATATACCAACTCTGTAATGATACACCACGATGAAGCCTATAGAGTAATGGATGACTAAATTATACCGCAAGTGGTAGTGTCACATACGAAACTGACCACGAGTAAACTGAATATGACATGAATTGTCATGATCCCTCACAATAATTTATGATTGCAGTTTAGATATTTCAAAGAATAAGCAGACAAAAGTCATTGAAAATAACTGTTCTTCTGGGAAAAACAAATCAAATTTCAAATTTCTTGTCTTCAAATAATTTCTCTAAGTAACAAATCAGCTTTGCACATCTGAAGATTAATTTCTGGGTTTAGATGTCTGGAATGTTAAGCTTATCATATGTCCTCCCTGACAAATAGAACATGATGCTAAGCAGGTTTCAAAGTATCATGAATTTCATGCAAGGTACCACAACTGATAGAAAAAACTCCAGACACAGGGTTTAGAGAGATGTAGATGAAGATTATACTGAAGTTTTATAACAATCATTATAATCTCATTGAGGGATACTCTATTTCTTTGTCAATATGAAGCTGTACATGTTTGACACTCCTTCTTAAGCTAGGTGGCTTCTTTACCTTGTTCTCATTTTAGAATGTAACATTACTCACTATGACCTAGATTTAAATGGTTGGTTTCAATGATGAAGCTTTCTCCTCCGTAATATCAGGTTTTATTCTCCTTGTACTTTTCAGGAGTCACCTTGTAAATCTTGGTTTGTATTCTACCATAGTTTCATCTGTTTGAATTTAGATTCTGTTAACATGTCAATATTGTCTTTGTTGTTTATGAATACTTACCATCTAAATTAACACTGCACTGTGATTGGTTGCTAGTTTGACGCTTTGCCCTACGACCAACACGACCAGGAACAACTTCATCCCCATCTTTCTTTTTTACATCTGATAAATGTACAGGCTTGATATCTTCTCTGTAAAGAAAATTTATAGTGTCAATAATACCCTGTCTATAACAAACAGAGTCTAGTCTTCAGTGTAGTTTCTCTCCAACAACCACCTCTAGACTAACATATCTGGAGTCTAGTCTCTCTCAAACAGTCACTTGTGTACGAGCACCACAGGACAGAATTGTAGGTAATGAAAATCTCTGCAGTATGTTTACAGCAGTAAGATAAACTAATGACACACTGATACAGATGTAGTAACATTTACTTCAGCAAACTTATATCACTTATATCTACTTCCATGGTATTGCTCATAACTTCAGCAAACTTATATCACTTATAACTACTACCATGGTATTGCTCATTACTAGGTTTTTTTCATTAATCACTACCAGGGTGAAACAATATTCAGGGACTTAAGTCAGAACTGAATTACTAACCAGTAAGTATAACACAGAAACAGGATTACAGGTAATAATGTCTTCAGTATTTCATTGAAATCAGAACTGAATTACTTACCAGTAAGTATAACACAGAAACAGGATTACAGGTAATAATGTCTTCAGTATTTCATTGAAATCAGAACTGAATTACTTACCAGTAAGTATAACACAGAAACAGGATTACAGGTAATAATGTCTTCAGTATTTCATTGAAATCAGAACTGAATTACTTACCAGTAAGCATAACACAGAAACAGGATTACAGGTAATAATGTCTTCAGTATTTCATTGAAATCAGAACTGAATTACTAACCAGTAAGTATAACACAGAAACAGAATCAAAGGTAATAATGTCTTCAGTATTTCATATAAGTACTTAGGATGAAAATCTAAATCATAAAATACCCTTCCAAAAGGTATATTGATAACAGTGTGATAAATTTAAAGTGACTGAGCAGTAAAGAGTGATCAGAACCTTTCTTGTTTGGCTTGTTCATCCAGAGATTCGGAGGCTGATTCCAGTGGGATTTGTATGGCTGTCATCTGATTCCATATTTCTCGTATCAGAAATCTCGTGATGAACTTATCCATCCTTCCAGCTGTGGGGTAGGTCTGTAAGGAAATAACAGTAATAGATACTGGAAGCTTGCGTATAATAGAGATTTTTATATTCCTTATAAACATTGTGACTACACATAAACACACAAAAAAATTGAACTGTGGCCAGAATGGCTGAATATCTCCTCAATCTAGGCTTACCCGCTCATTCTCCTTTTTAGTAGTATCCGATAGAAAAATATAGAGAGGTGGGGAGGGAGGGAAGGAGGGAGTGAAGGGTAGGGTGGGAGAGAGGTAGGGAGAGAATGAAGGAGAGTGAGAGAAAGAGAAAGAAGGAGAGAGATGTAGGGAGGGAGATAGAGAGAAAGGGAGGGAAAGAAAGATGTAGGGAGGAAGAGACAGAGGGAGGGAGGGAGGGTGGGAGAGAGAGGTAGGGTGAGGGTGAGAGAGAGGTAGGGAGAGAATGAGAGAGAGAGAGAAGGGGAAGAGAGAAGTAAGTAGGGAGAAAGAGAGGTAGGAAGAGAAAGAGAGAAGCAGGGAGGGAGAGAATTCTTGCTATATGAAAAGTTACTAAAAATATATTAAAAGTGTGTGTCCTTTACCTGGGATGTAGACACCAGGACATCAGACAGTTTGTTTACCTGTGATGTAGACACCAGGACATCAGACAGTTTGTTTACCTGTGATGTAGACACCAGGACATCAGACAGTTTGTTTACCTGTGATGTAGACACCAGGACATCAGACAGTTTGTTTACCTGTGATGTAGACAACAGAACATCAGACAGTTTGTTTACCTGTGATGTAGACACCAGGACATCAGACAGTTTGTTTACCTGTGATGTAAACACCAGAACATCAGACAGTTTGTTTACCTGTGATGTAGACACCAGGACATCAGACAGTTTGTTTACCTGTGATGTAGACACCAGGACAGTTTGTTTACCTGTGATGTAGACACCAGGACAGTTTGTTTACCTGTGATGTAGACACCAGGACATCGGACAGTTTGTTTACCTGTGATGTAGACACCAGGACATCGGACAGTTTGTTTACCTGTGATGTAGACACCAGGACATCGGAAAGTTTGTTTACCTGTGATGTAGACACCAGGACATCAGACAGTTTGTTTACCTGTGATGTAGACACCAGGACAGTTTGTTTACCTGTGATGTAGACACCAGGACAGTTTGTTTACCTGTGATGTAGACACCAGGACAGTTTGTTTACCTGTGATGTAGACACCAGGACAGTTTGTTTACCTGTGATGTAGACATTAGGACATCAGACAGTTTGGTATTGAACTCCTCCACCAAACCATAAAGTTCCTTGAACTGACCCAAATGTTTACAGAAGTAGTCATGTAGCTCTCCAGTGTCAATATTACTGCAGAAAAAAAACAATGCCAGGTACACATGATAGATATATCTCTGAATCGATACAGATAATATGAAAGTCATGATAGATATATCTCTGAATCGATACAGATAATATGAAGGTCATGATAAATATATCGCCGAAACTGATACAGATAATATGAAAGTCATGATAGATATATCTCTGAATCGATACAGATAATATGAAGGTCATGATAAATATATCGCCGAAACTGATACAGATAATATGAAAGTCATGATAGATATATCTCTGAATCGATACAGATAATAAGAAAGTCATGATAAATGTATCTCTGAATCGATACAGATAATAAGAAAGTCATGATAAATGTATCTCTGAATCGATACAGATAATAAGAAAGTCATGATAGATATATCTCTGAATCGATACAGATAATAAGAAAGTCATGATAAATGTATCTCTTAATCGATACAGATAATAAGAAAGTCATGATAAATGTATCTCTGAATCGACACAGATAATAAGAAAGTCATGATAAATGTATCTCTGAATCGATACAGATAATAAGAAAGTCATGATAGATATATCACTGAATCGATACAGATAATAAGAAAGTCATGATAAATGTATCTCTTAATCGATACAGATAATAAGAAAGTCATGATAAATATATCTCTGAATCGATACAGATAATATGAAAGTCATGATAAATATATATCTGAATCAATACAGATAATATGAAAGTCATGATAAATGTATCTCTGAATCGATACAGATAATATGAAAGTCATGATAAATGTATCTCTGAATCGATACAGATAATAAGAAAGTCATGATAGATATATCTCTGAATCGATACAGATAATATGAAAGTCATGATAAATGTATCTCTGAATCGATACAGATAATATGAAAGTCATGATAAATGTATCTCTGAATCGATACAGATAATAAGAAAGTCATGATAAATGTATCTCTGAATCGATACAGATAATATGAAAGTCATGATAAATGTATCTCTTAATCGATACAGATAATATGAAAGTCATGATAGATATATCTCTGAATCGATACAGATAATAAGAAAGTCATGATAAATGTATCTCTGAATCGATACAGATAATAAGAAAGTCATCAACTGAGGTTGATTACTATCAGAGATAACAAATGAATTTGTTCCAAATTCAAGTTCTTTATTATTATTATCAGTTCTTTTTATCGAGTAAATATGTTGTATGAATGGCTTAAAGGTTTTTTATATTGTTATTTGAGTCTTACTGAACATAATATACAGATGGAAATACATACAGGTGTGACAGAACCAATGTTTACTCTTACTACAGAATGTAGCTAATCTGTTATTAATAACTCTCAGTCAGAACCAATGTTTACTCTTACTACAGAATGTAACCAATCTGTTATTAATAACTCTCAGTCAGAACCAATGTTTACTCTTACTACAGAATGTAGCTAATCTGTTATTAATAACTCTCAGTCAGAACCAATGTTTACTCTTACTACAGAATGTAACTAATCTGTTATTAATAACTCTCATTAGAAAACCTGGATGAAAACAGTGATATTTTTGTAGGTTTCTCCAGAACTTTCAGTAAATAACAATTAGTCTAAATCTCCTTATCAAGAAAATTGATATAAACTGTTATAGGTAACTGTACTTTATAAGTCACAAGATAATATTGTAATCTTTTTATAGACTGAAAAAAGTCTTACATGACAAAGAGAAGTGGGAATGTGTTTGGAATGCTTACTTGGTGTTGTGTGTGTCAATTTCCTTGAAGAGAGACTCTAATTCTTCTTTACCCATGACGCCATCTGAGAAAAAGGCCACAAATTCCTCCCAAGATATGGCACCATCATCTGATCAATCAAATAAATATTTGTAAATGTATAAAATATATGTGTAAAATCTTACATCTTTCAGTCTGACTTACACCAGGTAAAAACGTATCATCACCTTCTTCGTTTAACCATCAGACAGTCTTGTATCTCATTCAGTATAGATATCTCTGTCCATTAGAGAACTATTCTGACCAGTATTACATTAAAGCCTTCAGTCTACATACAACATCTATCAAACTTGCTAGATAAAATTTCACTTGCTAACAAGAACCACAAACTCAAGGCATGTCTACAAACAATTGTTAAGAACCTACATACAGTTCTGGATGTGTTAATATATTTACCATTCTTATCAGCTCTTCTGAACACCTAGAAATGAAAAAACAAATCAATAAATAAAAGTGATCATATTCACATAAAATCCACATCACATATAATATATATAGTGATCAATAACAACATATTTGTGCCAAGTTGTGGACGAAGAAAATGAAGCAGTTAAGATGTTAATACAACAGACTTTCCAGATTTGTCTTTTTGGTAATAACCAAATAATGATGATTACAAGAGATTCCAGAGGGATCTTGGCGTCCACCATTTGAGGATCTGTTTTCAGTTCTTGAAGATTTGTTTATTTTTTTTGGTTTGTTACAGATGTTGTAAATGTTCATGAACTGGTCATCATTGAATGTACTCAATGATGGCACAAGATATTTTTATTAAGCACCTATTAGCAAATATCATTTGAAAAAGATCCCAAAGTATTATTAGATAGCAGTCAGTTACAGGTGGATAATGGACAATATGCTTGTGCTGTATTACTATCGACATCCAAGATGGCTGCCTGTGGGCCACCTTGATTTCAAATCAGTCCAAAAAAGGTACAATGCACAACTAGGGACCAAGGGAAACCAATATCTATGAAATAACAGAAGGATCCATCCAGTACTTCCTCAGATATAGCAGTAACAAGATTTTACTCTCAAAATCCAAGATGGCTGCCTGTCAGCCATCTTGATTTCGGATCAGTCCAAAAAGGTATAATGCACAACTTGGAACCAAAGGGAACCTGCATATGAAATTTGAGAAAGAGCCATCCAGTACTTTTCCAGAAATAGCGGTAACAAGAATTGTTTACGAACGGACGGACCATGTACCACGGACGCAGGGCGATTTGAATACCCCACCATCTGATGATGGTGGGCTAAAAATCTGACTTTTAATTAAATAATCACCACTATTGAAGACACTATCACACTGCCTTACACAGGAACATGAAGTATAGACAATCCTTTTATATCAGCTTCAGTTTCACTTTAGGTGTGTGGAATTATATAAATACAGCAGTGACAGTTTCCAGGCCAGTTACACTATATACTGTTACAGTGACATATATTGTCACATATGACTTACTTCCTTTGAACCTGAAGTGTTTTTATTCATTTAATTACACATACCATAGTTCTTATTAGTTGAAAAATAATCATATTTTTCTGTGATGTGCAAAGCACTAAAATGCATATTTTTGTGAAAATGACCTGTGCATTACATTTCAATAATTGTTTTTATTAAAAGTACATTTTCTATTGAAGAAACTTAATTTCAACCAGTAATATGCAAATATTACTGATGGAAAGCCTATTTTCCAATGGAAATAGCATTTTTTTCATTTTGATAGCATAAAAAAATACTAGCCTTTGGCCTTTAGGTGAGCATTTGCTACTGTGAGGAAGGCTTTGATTTCTGTCCCCTGCCAAAGACTCGGGCATAATATAAACAAAAAATTAACACTGAGTCCTCTGAGAAAGCACAGGGTGAATATTTTGTAACAGTTGTTGCAGAAAGGGAAAAAGTAACTCAAACATTCTAGCTCAAGTCAAAAGTTGCGTTTCATTCATATCATAGGTAAAACACTACTCAAAGATCTTTTCAATTTGACAATATTTGAACATGCAACTTCTTCAGAATTTTGTGAATTGCTGGCTGTCAATTTTGAACCCTGACCCTTGAATATTGAATCAACTGTAACATGATGTGAATTAACATTATGAGCCAGTAAGAGTATTGCTATCCAGAAATTAAAAATTCCCAAAATGGAAAGTTGTCTTGGCTGGACTTGCAGCAGAAAAAAGCTCAGGAAAGCAGCTGATTTAAAAGGATTTATTGTGTCCAGAATCATTAATTTCTAACTCTGTTGGATACATATGATAGACATGGTCGTTCTACAAACTCCTTGAAATTTATAGAAGGGCAAGACATCATAATTACATCTGAAAATTATCAGACTCTTAAGGAAAGAAGCCATACACTGCAAGTATGCTAAAAATCTGTTTGCCAATCTAAGTCTTTTTTCTTGAATGGATATTTCATGAAAAACAGGATACTGTTAACCTTTCTTAGAAAAAAACTTCTCATTACAAGATAGTTCTAACTGAGTGGTATATTGTAGCTAGTATTTACTAGGGTTACATTCTCTCTATCTGAGTGGTATATTGTGACTAGTATTTACTAGGGTTACATTCTCTCTATCTGAGTGGTATATTGTGGCTAGTATTTACCGGGGTTACATTCTCTCTATCTGAGTGGTATATTGTGGCTAGTATTTACCAGGGTTACATTCTCTCTATATGAGTGGTATATTGTGACTAGTATTTACCAGGGTTACACGGTCACCACTGAAACCTGAAGCTATCAGTACATATTCACTATGATCTCCCAGGGCTAGCTCTGGCTCTTAATTTTGAATTTTTAATAGTCACTTTATCTAAAGAATCAGTTAAGCTTCCATATAAATAAATGGATCAATAATCCACAAATATATTCAGATAGATAGAAACACAGTTCAATAATTTACTGACCATTTTTATATTTCTAAAGAATTATTTGAGCTTAATGAAGTACAGAAAAAGAAAAATGAAATAATTATTCTTATTTTGATTTTTTTACAGCTAAAAAAAAATGAAAAAATATTATCAGCGGATACTGCTGTCCCTCATGTTTATCTTCTTTTCTGAGTATTTAACATTCTGTATGATCTATGCTTAAAATTCACATTTTTCATACGAATTTCCATTTTCAGGCTAAACGTACTCGGTACGTACAGCCTATTGCGACGGCCTTTCAGACAAAATTTACCAATCCTAGCCTTCTCATTGGCTGAAATATCGAAAAGAGTTAGAGCCCTCTAGCGGCAATTTTCTGCGTAAGTAATGCCGCGATCTTTCAAATCGCTATTTCAAAAGCATCCGCAATAAGATGTTTTCAATAACAATAAGATTACTATACATTTCAAAAAAGAAGCACAGTGTGGTTGAACTATTGATAAATTTTGAACAATATATTTTACGGAATTTGCTCACAGACATCCCCAACCTGTGCTGTTGAAGAAGATCGAGCTGATGTGATTCTTCTCGCCTGCTGTGAATATTCCTAGAAAACAATCATATTAACTGTAAGCAGAGATACGTCTCTGCCGTAAGTAAGCAAAGAAATGGTTTCTTGTATCTTCAAAGTTTATTGTAACTGCATGATTTGATTTACAGTGTATTTACTGTATGACGGCTTATGAATCCTTCTCAACATGACGTAAGCGTACAGAACACTGTACGTGCGAGTTGGTGCCATGATAAGAAGCTAGTCTGGGGGCTTGGTTTGAATTATTAATTAACAGCACTTATAAACAAACAAAACTTACAAACAGAACATCAATTTTGCTTTAATCCTTGTCGTTGTGGCAAAAAAGTCTTAATATATAACATTACTTTACCTCATTAGACGTCACAAAATTGGACTGTTCGTCCCACGCGCATACCCGCCGATATGATACTTTTTCAGGTTTTTCACACCCACCACCATGACACTTTTTCAAGTTTTTGTAGATAAAAAATTTGCGCTTCGTAGGCAAGGTACATTTGGTGCTCATGATTTATTAATAATATATTTTTAATACTGTACTGATCATGATGTTGACTTTGTTATAACTTATATTTTTTGTCTTTTAGTTTTATTTGATGAAGGTTGATTGTGCTGATTTCTCTAGGTTTGTTAATGTGTATCAAAGTTCCTTGAAATGAAAATATTTCTTCAAACAAAGCGCGTATAAAAAACCAAAATAATCATGTTTATAATTATCAATTAACTAGAACGAAATATTTCCATAACATATTTATTCATTTTGCGTGTCATTGTGACATTATCTAATGCATTGGCGATCAGAAATAGTAGTAGCTATAGTGAAAATATTGTAAATTTTGTATATGGAAGTCTAGTTTAATCTCATAGAACTATGTCTTTATAGATATAATTACTGGAAGGAAAATCTAACCATGATACTTCTAGGAAGATAGGCATGTAAATACATTTAATTATATACACTTTTATCTATCTGAAATGCTGTGTACACCTTATCTACTTTCCTCAACTAAAAATATAATTATAATAAGTAAGGACTATTACTTTGCAATACATTTAAAATAGAGAAGTAGGTATAAAGTCCTCTCGATTTGTCTAAATCCTCATATTGATAGGATAGTAATTGCAAAATCTTGGGTATTTCAAAGGTTTTATTTAGTCAACTTCATCATAGAGCTATTTATCATTTGGCTTGTTGGCGATAAATATATGGTTGTGTTTATTTTGTTATTTTATTTTTACCTATTTTGATTTGTTCACATTATTGTCGTCAAATTTGAAATAAGAATTTAGGAAGATTTAAAATCGCTTAAAATCAAGGAAACTAGCCTCTGGTTCTCTTATTTTAGTAATTTTTGCATTCCAAAGTGTAGAAGTATGGGGAAAGTAATATAGCTTTGCGGTTATTTTTGAATATTTTTCAATACGTTTAGCCTTTCAGTACTTTGATTTTTATTATGCACCATATGTTTAATTCCTCTTTAACAAAGGCAGTGTGACTGCCTTTGGTTTTAATTAACCAGAGATCACCATCATGTTAATGAATTCATGACAGCTATAAACCAGGTCTGTTTTTGAAGTGATGGTCCTTAATTGTAATCACCTGATAATGATTATCAACTAAGGGTGTGATCACCTAAGGGTGCAGGCAGACAACCACCTTAGCACCCCATGGCCCCTTACCTATATCATGAGCCTTATGCCTCATGAGGCAAGAGTAGGTAAAGAGATAATTACACCCCTTTGCCTATATAATAAAGTCAGTGCCAAGGGTGAGTAGGAATTGCATGCGCAAAGGGAAAAAGCGAAAACTTTCACACATACTATCAGTCCTGAATTGTGACACAGAAGTGGAATTCTTGATAATGTTTTGCAACAACATGCATGGTGGACATAGCAATAAATAGTTTGCTCACCAAAACTCTTAATCATGTGTGCAGACAATGTGAGTGGCTGAACCAGAAGACGCGATTAGTATTTTACTCTACAAACATATTCAGAGATTGTCCGAAAGGAGGAAGTAGGAAAAAAAAAGAAAATACCATGAACTGCTTATGAACACAATAAATACAATATTCAAGGAAGGGAGAGTTCCTAAAACATTTCTAATTCGGAATGCATTTGCCATTATTCATATTAATTTTATCAAAAGAATGCATACAGGAGCACATTGCAGCTCTCACAAACACAAGAACACGCACACAACATATATTCTTACGTCGAACACATACAGGGAGGTCATTCTTAAAGACCATAGCTGTTTACAGGACATTACACAATGTAAAAACGAAAATCCCTTGCAAAAGTCGACATTAACATTGTAAACACTGCCTCGATAGGAGCTTTTGCATCTCAAATAAGCACAATTTGTTAAAATCGACATTAAATTACGTTAAGAATTGACCACTGGTTTAAAATTTGTGAACTAAATAATAACGTACATCTTTGAAAATTGACATTCCCTTTTCTTGGTCCATCTTGAACTTGAAATATTACTTTTCCTGTCGGCTACAGATACTGAAGTCTCGCAGGTGTCCGTCTGTTGCGAGAATCGCACATTCGTTCGGAATTATCGAGAATTATCTATAGATTAGATGATGACTGTAGACGAGTTCCCAATGACGTTGTCAGTGAAAACAACATGGCGACCGGGCTGGTTCGAAGTGCATCTTACATTGGAGAAAAGAAGAACGAAATGCGCAATGGTAAGCGTTACAAAACAAAACACTACAAAAATTCATCATCACGGGACTATCTACATTCTGGTATAATAGGGAGTGGAGGTTTTTTGCTACATGTTTTGATGTGACCCATTATCTTGTCACCTACATGTGGAAGACTACATGTATTGCCTGTTGACTAGACCTACTCGACCGTGTCTTGAATAACATGACTAGTTGATTGGTGGTTATTTTGTTGAAACCACATACCTAGTGAATGTTACAGTATATCGTATTTATTGTAAGTATGGTTTTAATATGTTGGATTTTAAACTGATAAAGTATAATCCTTTTCTGATTAAAAATATATCGAATGATCGTCAAACGATGAGTACTATCTAAAATGAATAAAGTATATAGATGTGTAAATATTTATAATGGTATCCAGAAAGATATACAGATAATAATAATTAGTATTTTACTAGTATAGTTAACACTGGTCCTTGTGCTATCAATTTTACAGTTCTGTCAGAAATGTATTTTTTTGTATACTACATCTAAAATTGTACATCTGTATATAAGCATAAGTGGGCCTTATAAAGTTGATTTTACTTGCTAGCAGAGAGTAGAAAGGGACTGGAATGGATAATTACAAATGGCAAGTTCAAATGTATAGTTAACAGAAGTTAATGATATGGGAACAAAAGTTATCAAGAGTTTTGTTGTTCAGGTTGAATGCTAATACAGCCCCACCATATGGATGTTTCCAAATATCAATATTGCATTGCTGTCCTATACACGAAGGCTACATTATACATATATTAAACATAAATATGAACTGAATATGTCTATATCAAATCTGCATTCTACTTTAATTGCTAAGAGTCGGGATCTGTCATAGTCAGCTATATTGTATATATAATCTCAAATCATCTAAATTCTGGTGTAAGTCTGGTACCAGTGGCCACTATACTCTATCCCTTTATACAAGGACACTTATAACAACTACCACCAGAAAAATATTGTTTCTATATCTTCTTATTGTAGATACTTATCTGAAGTTTGATCACCTTGATCATATTAATTCATTACACCTTGATTAAGTGATAACACTTTAATCAGATTAAGTGATAACAGATTGATCAGATTAACATATAACACTTAGATCAGATAAACTTATAACACCTAGATCAGATTAACATATAACACCTAGATCAGATAAACTTATAACACCTAGATCAGATAAACTTATAACACCTAGATCAGACAAACTTATAACACCTAGATCAGATAAACTTATAACACCTTGATGAGATGAACATATAACACCTTGATGAGATAAACTTATAACACCTAGATCAGACAAACTTATAACACCTAGATCAGATAAACTTATAACACCTATATCAGATAAACTTATAACACCTAGATCAGATAAACTTATAACACCTAGATCAGATAAACTTATAACACCTAGATCAGATAAACTTATAACACCTTGATGAGATAAACTTATAACACCTAGATCAGATAAACATATAACACGTAGATCAGAATAACTGATAACACTTTAATCAGATTAACTTTTAACACTAGATAATATATTAACTGATGACATTGACAGTTACAAACATGTGAAATCCTACAACAATAAATCTATTTTAGGTAAAAAAATCCTCTTTTTCTTACATTGTACACATTTTTACTGTTGTCTTCTCTATCACAAGAAAACAACCTACATGTATACCTACATTGTATGATGATAACAAATAGACATGCTACTTTCTGTTTATACAACGGTAAAATGTATAATTTTGAATATTGGGATAACTTTGATGTAAGTATATACATCTCAATATGTCCATTCAAATAAAAAGCATAAAACAGATAAAAGGTACACACTCCATTATATCAATCTGAGGATGATTAGCACATTCCACTTCCAGATGAGATATTTGTGAAGTAGAATTCTATGTTTTGGTAAGATTGTTAAACATTTATGATTTGGAGATATGAAATGGATATTTCAGGAATAAACATAATACTCATACTGACAATGTAATATGCTGTTTAGACATTAACAACTTGTGTTTTATTTCGGAGGAAAGTTCTCTTCAATATATTTGACCTATGTCATCTAAGATGAAACACAGTCCATACATGTCTGGTTAGTTCATAGTACAGTAAATGTCGTTGTAAGCATCTTCTTGCTTATGTTAGAAGTATCTTCTTTTGTATACTTAGTCAAATCCAGTTACAATGATTAAAGTTTCTAAGGGTATATTATATTTCAATCCTTTAACTTGTACCTTACACCTGGTGTCCATGAACAATATAGTTTATACCCTATCATGATTTCCTTAGATCAGTTCAGTTTATACTTGTAAATATTCTAGATCAGTGAAATCATTTTCATATCATTAGAATTGATTATCTATTTATATTAACCCTTTGGAAAACACATCTATTAATTTTACTCTTATTATTATGTAAATATCAATTCATGATAACCTTAAGTTTGATTGAAAATGAAATGAAAACAATTTTCGCACATTTCATGAAAGTTAAATCACAATATTTGTATAGTCCATCAGATGATGACATCATTATACACTATGTGCTCTGTGATAGTCACATCAGATATTGCTCAACAAAAAAGATAAAAATACAGATCAGTAGCATATTCGTGATAACTGCACTGTATTATATATCATGTTTAAGTGGAGCCTAAAATCTATTAGATATGTGTAGAGGTAAAAAGATAAGAGAAACAGGAATTAAAACTGACAGTATTGATATCTAGTGAATAAGATCAGGGACTAGACTTGTCAGGGGCTGTTATCACCTACTTCTTTGATAATCTAATGCTTGGATTGTTCATGTAATATTATTGATTTACACAAGTATTAAACAGAACATTTGTGTTATGCAGAGGCCAGTACATCTTGTGAAGTGTATTGTTGATATAGACCAAGTTCACACGATTACTTCCTTAAGGAATTTTTGTTAGATAACCTCTTAAATTTAGAGTGTACCCATTGAATATCACTTGACAGGTTGCTGATTTAGTCACAGCTTGGGCACTTCTACGCAGATAAGAAATTCACTTTTATTTTTCTTAAACAGTAATACATCATGGATGATAATAAATAAATAGAAAAAGACGGGAACATCAAATATCAGATAGTCATAAGACATCTAAATATTATAATTACCATTTCTAAATAGTTGTAACATATCACAACTATTCAACAAGATTTATTATGTGCAATGGAATTAAAAGACCTAAACACTCACTGTGATATGATTTAATTAAAGTATACTCCAGTAGAAATCATTGTGTGTTTAATAGAAAATTGCAATTTCTTTAACCGTAATTGACATTATTAATTGTATTACTTAAATTATTTTGAAAACTTTCATTTGACATTTAAAATAAATGAATGAATAATTAAAATTTCCTCTCATTATAATTGAAACCCTACATGTATGGAGCTTTTACCAGCTTTTTCTTTGGAAGTCACTCTAGGTCTGTTAGATGTACATGTAATATCAGGCACAAAGTTAGATTATCTCCCTTGGTTCATTCTGGTAAAGGTATGATGTCATTTTTCTAGTTCAAATTATTCTAATGTTCCGTCGACATTAAATCTGAAATATAGTGCAACAGATATAACTTTATATGAAGGGATAAACTGTGGTGTTTGCAGCATAAATTATAGTTTTTAACATCAATGTTTCCATTCAGTTTCAAACAAAAAAGAAATAACAGAGAGTCTGTGTCAATCAACTGGCAGAGCATGCTCCGGCCTTCGGCTCATTTGGAAGCATATTGGACTATTATACCAGAGACTGGACTATTATACCAGAGACTGGACTATTATACCAGAGACTGGACTATTATACCAGAGACTGGACTATCATACCAGAGACTGGACTATTATACCAGAGACTGGGCTATCATACCAGAGACTGGGCTATCATACCAGAGACTGGACTATTATACCAGAGACTGGGCTATCATACCAGAGACTGGACTATTATACCAGAGACTGGGCTATCATACCAGAGACTGGACTATTATACCAGAGACTGGGCTATCATACCAGAGACTGGGCTATTATACCAGAGACTGGGCTATCATACCAGAGACTGGACTATTATACCAGAGACTGGACTATTATACCAGAGACTGGGCTATCATACCAGAGACTGGGCTATCATACCAGAGACTGGACTATCATACCAGAGACTGGACTATCATACCAGAGACTGGGCTATTATACCAGAGACTGGGCTATCATACCAGAGACTGGACTATTATACCAGAGACTGGACTATTATACCAGAGACTGGGCTATTATACCAGAGACTGGGCTATCATACCAGAGACTGGACTATTATACCAGAGACTGGACTATCATACCAGAGACTGGGCTATCATACCAGAGACTGGGCTATCATACCAGAGACTGGACTATCATACCAGAGACTGGACTATCATACCAGAGACTGGACTATCATACCAGAGACTGGACTATCATACCAGAGACTGGACTATCATACCAGAGACTAGACTATCATACCAGAGACTAGACTATCATACCAGAGACTGGACTATCATACCAGAGACTGGACTATTATACCAGAGACTGGACTATCATACCAGAGACTGGACTATCATACCAGAGACTGGGCTATCATACCAGAGACTGGGCTATCATACCAGAGACTGGACTATCATACCAGAGACATTGGATTAAGATTACTGTTGTTGCTTTGCTGGATTGTGTTTTAAATTTCCAGATTCTTTCACAATTGATCAAGGTTGACACATTCTTCAATAAAAGTGTAAGTGGTGACTTTAAATGATTTTCAACACAATGAGTGTGCCAACTGACAACCTTCATAGATTGTTGATTGGTTTTGATAGTGAAACATTAACAGCAAGTATATTTACATGAATACATGGATGTGAATAAAAATTAAAATACATGGTAGATTGTATATTTCTGTGGAGAAGATTGTTATGTTCATTTACTTGAATTAAAACAGAATTACATTTATGAAATAAGATGTTTTAAATAAATGTACTTTATCTTGGAGAGTGCTACTAATTGAAATTTTGACATTGTGAACAATTTAAAAAGAATTATTACTGAAATAGAAGCCAAACTTTGATGCTCCAAAATGATGGGGAAAAAGGGGGAGGGGGGACAAGTAAACAGATGTGACCTATAGTATAACAGTGGATGTAAGTCTTACAATGTTTACATTGTATTAACACAGTTAAGTTATAGTAGACAATTATGATATATACACTGTACAATCTGTTGTGTAACACAACATGTCTCCTATCAGTGGGTTTTAGGACTCAAATATATGTGTCTCTTACTCATGGTATTTCAAGTAGAACTCATAAAAAATTGGAACTTACTATCTATTTGTACGAAAACTCGGTCAAAATTCTGAAATCACATGGAAAATTCCTGAAAAGAATAACGGACAGTATTCACAGATACCAATGTCTGTGCATTATCAAATAAGTTTTATCTCAACATGTGTGATATCTTTATAAATATATGAGAGAGTGGAAATGCCATGTTTTAATCTAGGGCCCAGACAACATTCTGAACCTCTACTTTTCTGTATAACAACTCAACCTCAGCTGTTATAGATGATTGGTTGTCAGGGTAGTTAGTTATAACAATCTAATGACACAATGCTATTCTAACAATACTGTGTAAACACTATATATGTCCCTGCAGTTTGCCTTATAGAACAGTATTATTGATAGCTGTATTCAAATGTTTTTTCATTTATTGGAAAACAAATACATTTAACTAGTAGAAAATGATGTACATGTACTTGTCTGTCCATGTATAATGGATACTGGGTAACTTCAGGGAGGTTAAGGTGACAGACACTAAGAGGTTATGTTGATTTAGGTTCTCCTTAACACACACACAGAGCACAAATATATACAATCATTTTAAATGATATGTCAATACATTTTTTTGGAACATTTACAATTACTTTCCTGAACTTTAAATAACTTGAGTATGAAAATATTTCATCTTTTTAATGAATCTCAGTTCTGAAGAGACGAGTTCCCCCTTTAATTTTATACTTTACACAAGTGACCTGAGGTTGTGAGGATTGAAACTATGAAGAAATATATCCACCCACGTAAACATTCTACCCTTATAACCCATACAAAGTGTGTGACACTCTCACCCCTGTAATTAAGGTACCTAATAATATCAGGTCCACATTCAGCACAGAATTCAATTTTGTACCGACATTTCCAAAAAACTAAATCAAATTAAAAATTTCGATATCTACATTATGTATATCCTTTCACCTTTTTTGTGTTTGTACTTATATATATATATATTCTAAAATTATCACTGAGATTTCTACTTTGCTAATTTATCAAATGACCCAGTAATTACACCACTACATGTTGTAGTGATCACTTTACCAAATGACCCAGTAATTACACCACTGCAGGTTGTAGTGATCACTTTACCAAACGACCCAGTAATTACACCACTACATGTTGAATTAATTACCTACCACTGGATTTGCTGCGACTATTATTTAAATATAAATTTATGTTGATTTAGAGGATTTAACTCACCTGTTATGTCCCAGTCCTCAGATAATTAATACTGTACTATGTCAACATCCAATTATCTCATTGTCGATATATACTACATGGATCTACCAATAAGCCCTTGCCGGGTAATAAGCCCATCTACATATACTGGTATTTTGTTACCAGTAAATCACAATTAAATTGTCCTGTGATAAGCCCACCCCTGATTTGTCACAGGTATGAAATGCCAACTTGGCCACAAAACTTTACAGATATTATGTTCAAGAACTTATTGCATTTATCCATTTAGAAAATTTCACAATCACTTACTTGATCATGTATATAAATAGATTTATTTAAGTTTTAGTACTGGCATGTTTAGTAAGTATCATGTCCACCAGGGACACCAAGGAGACACATATTGTGACATACCTCTAGACATAGACAAGCTCTCTAGACAGGGACACCAAGGAGACACATATTGTGACATACCTCTAGACATAGACAAGCTCTCTATAAAGGGACACCAAGGAGATATATATTATGACATACCTCTAGACCTAGACAAGCTCTCTATAAAGGGACACCAAGGAGACACATATTGTGACATACCTCTAGACATAGACAAGCTCTCTCGGAAGGGACACCAAAGAGACACATATTGTGACATATCTCTAGACATAGACAAGCTCTCTAGGAAGGGACACCAAGGAGATATATATTGTGACATATCTCTAGACATAGACAAGCTCTCTAGACAGGGACACCAAGGAGATATATATTGTGACATACCTCTAGACATAGACAAGCTCTCTATAAAGGGACACCAAGGAGACACATATTGTGACATACCTCTAGACATAGACAAGCTCTCTAGGAAGGGACACCAAGGAGACACATATTGTTACATACCTCTAGACATAGACAAGCTCTCTAGGAAGGGACACCAAGGAGATATATATTGTGACATACCTCTAGACATAGACAAGCTCTCTAGGAAGGGACACCAAGGAGATACATATTGTGACATACCTCTAGACATAGACAAGCTCTCTAGGAAGGGACACCAAGGAGACACATATTGTTACATACCTCTAGACATAGACAAGCTCTCTATAAATAGACACCAAGGAGAAACATATTGTGACATACCTCTAGACATAGACAAGCTCTCTATAAAGGGACACCAAGGAGATATATATTGTGACATACCTCTAGACATAGACAAGCTCTCTAGACAGGGACACCAAGGAGACACATATTGTGACATACCTCTAGACATAGACAAGCTCTCTAGACAGGGACACCAAGGAGACACATATTGTGACATACCCCTAGACATAGACAAGCTCTCTAGACAGGGACACCAAGGAGACACATATTGTGACATACCTCTAGACATAGACAAGCTCTCTAGACAGGGACACCAAGGAGACACATATTGTGACATACCTTTAGACATAGACAAGCTCTCTAGACAGGGACACCAAGGAGACACATATTGTGACATACCCCTAGACATAGACAAGCTCTCTAGACAGGGACACCAAGGAGACACATATTGTGACATACCTCTAGACATAGACAAGCTCTCTAGACAGGGACACCAAGGAGACACATATTGTGACATACCTCTAGACATAGACAAGCTCTCTAGACAGGGACACCAAGGAGACACATATTGTGACATACCTCTAGACATAGACAAGCTCTCTAGACAGGGACACCAAGGAGACACATATTGTGACATACCTCTAGACATGTTTGTTAGAAATTGCTCTTTACATTAATATTTTTTTTCGTTACTCATTTGATTTTTAATTAGGTCCTGATGTATAAATTAAACCATTACTCTGTGTATTAAGTTCTCAAGCTAATGCTGGATTAATTGATAAAAATTCATTAATTACATGTAGGATCTTTTATATCCAGCTGATGCATTTTTTTTCATTAAAAAAAAACTGACATGGAATAAATATCAAAGTTCTGACAGAAGAAGGCAGATTTAAATCAATTTAAAGCCTTTTATGAGGAAGGATTAAAATGATCAGGTCTGGGACAGAACTACAATATCAAATGTCAATCAAATTAATTACATAATTGATTCAGAACTGCATTATAATTTATACGAAGGCTTTCACAGGTAAATGTTGGGTATATAGATATGTATTGATGTGTCCTGGTGTGTGATAGTGTTAGATCTCTGGTCAATACTCGTGGTAACCACTGACTGGGTAGGAGTAGTGCCCGTTGATTGGTGTGTGTTGTTCTAAAAGCTTTATATACATACGTAAGTAGTCGACAAGTGCTTGTTGTATGGTGGTGAGACGGATATGTCACTGAATGAACCATGGATAGTTGAAGTGTAACTTGGAATATTACCACCGGTAGCTAGTCCCTTGGATTATGTTAATATGTCACTAAACGACCCGCCATTTCAAATCTACCTTTCATCTGTATAAGACTGGACCTTTAAGCTATATTAAATTCATGGCTCTATTGTTGGTTATAACAGCTTAAGTAGATTTTTGTACTAACACCAAACATTAGAGGCACAAGTAACATGTAAGTCAGTGACAAACTATGTGATTCTGTTAGGAACAGATATATTCATTCTTCATCTTGGAAGTGAAATCTAGACCAGTGAATTTAGTTTATTCTGAGAATTTTTTGAAGGAACTTGGAATTACTGGTGAATTTGATTCTGACAGGCCTGTGATACCTTCTGAGTGCTGATGTGTAATGGACACTAAATGTTGAGAGTACTGAATGACTTTTAGACAGGATAAGTAGTACTGGGAATTGGTCAAGATGCCACCAACATTACATCAGTCTGGTGGCAAGTCACTGAACCATAAACATGGACATAGCAGATCACCTGAAAACAAAAATAGTCCCAGTGGATTATCACCAGATAACACACATGCACGCAGTGGTCATTCTCCTGAAAATAAACACAAAGCCATAAAGTTTGAGAAAAATGAGGATCTGGAATATAAATTACCATTTCTACCTAAAGCAGTTAAAAAGGACAAGAAACCTTTGTCAGAAAGGAATGCATGTACTTACAACTCTATACCTAAGAATGGCACAGGTAGTATATATGGTGTACCCTCACTATTCTGTTGTTTCCATTTATAAGATAATCTTAGATGGATAATTTTATTACAATTTTAACAGAAAGAATATTTATAGTTCAGATTTAATAATGAAATATATATTCATATATTACCAACAGTGATGATGTAAAGCATTTCACTCTGTAGAAATGTCACCCTGGAGGAATGACAGTGGTACTATCACCCTGGAGGACTGACAGTAGTACTATCACCCTTGAGGACTGACAGTGGTACTATCACCCTGGAGGACTGACAGTAGTACTATCACCCTTGGGGACTGACAGTAGTACTATCACCCTGGAGGAATGACAGTGGTACTATCACCCTGGAGGACTGACAGTAGTACTATCACCCTGGAGGACTGACAGTAGTACTATCACCCTTGAGGACTGACAGTAGTACTATCACCCTGGAGGACTGACAGTAGTACTATCACCCTTGAGGACTGACAGTAGTACTATCACCCTTGGGGACTGACATTAGTACTGTCACCCTTGGGGACTGACAGTAGTACTATCACCCTTGGGGACTGACATTAGTACTATCACCCTTGGGGACTGACAGTAGTACTATCACCCTTGAGGACTGACAGTAGTACTATCACCCTTGGGGACTGACAGTAGTACTATCACCCTTGAGGACTGACAGTAGTACTATCACCCTGGAGGACTGACAGTAGTACTATCACCCTTGGGGACTGACAGTAGTACTATCACCCTTGGGGACTGACAGTGGTACTCTCACTCTGGAGTATCACCCTTGAGGACTGACAGTAGTACTATCACCCTTGGGGACTGACAGTAGTACTATCACCCTTGAGGACTGACAGTAGTACTATCACCCTTGAAGACTGACAGTAGTACTATCACCCTTGAGGACTGACAGTAGTACTATCACCCTTGAGGACTGACAGTAGTACTATCACCCTTGAGGACTGACAGTAGTACTATCACCCTGGAGGACTGACAGTAGTACTATCACCCTTGAGGACTGACAGTAGTAATATCACCCTTGAGGACTGACAGTAGTACTATCACCCTTGGGGACTGACAGTAGTACTATCACCCTTGAGGACTGACAGTAGTACTATCACCCTGGAGGACTGACAGTAGTACTATCACCCTTGAGGACTGACAGTAGTACTATCACCCTTGAGGACTGACAGTAGTACTATCACCCTTGAGGACTGACATTAGTACTATCACCCTTGAAGACTGACAGTAGTACTATCACCCTTGAGGACTGACAGTAGTACTATCACCCTTGAGGACTGACAGTAGTACTATCACCCTTGAGGACTGACAGTAGTACTATCACCCTTGAGGACTGACAGTAGTACTATCACCCTTGAAGACTGACAGTAGTACTATCACCCTGGAGGACTGACAGTAGTACTATCACCCTTGAGGACTGACAGTAGTACTATCACCCTTGAGGACTGACAGTAGTACTATCACCCTGGAGGACTGACAGTAGTACTATCACCCTTGAGGACTGACAGTAGTACTATCACCCTGGAGGACTGACAGTAGTACTATCACCCTTGAGGACTGACAGTAGTACTATCACCCTGGAGGACTGACAGTAGTACTATCACCCTTGAGGACTGACAGTAGTAATATCACCCTGGAGGACTGACAGTAGTACTATCACCCTTGGGGACTGACAGTAGTACTATCACCCTGGAGGACTGACAGTAGTACTATCACCCTTGAGGACTGACAGTAGTACTATCACCCTTGAGGACTGACAGTAGTACTATCACCCTGGAGGACTGACAGTAGTACTATCACCCTTGAGGACTGACAGTAGTACTATCACCCTTGAGGACTGACAGTAGTACTATCACTCTTGGGGAAATTAATTTCTTATGACAATTATACATTGGAAGTTGAATTGGGGTCGGTCTGCCCACATTACATATGATGTCTTGGCTTCTGACGTATGGAGCCCTCCTCATATTTTAATAAAAGCTATGACACAGACCAGGAATGAATACTTGATTATTTCTACAGTCATTGGTTAGTCTATTCTCCAAAGGTTGTCTAAAATGCTGTAACTATTTTTGTACTGAATTAGTGTCTTATGATCTGTCTCCTTCTATAAGCAATTAGGTAGCTCAGGAGTTGTTTTTTATGTTCAGGACAGGAGCTAACACAGGATTGTCTAAAACCAGAAATATTCTGTAAAGGCAGTTTTGTTTTAATGGTTAAGATTTTGCGGTTTCACTGAAATTTTAAAGTAAAAAGAAATTTGAATTTTTAATGAAATAAATGAATTAGACTTTTAATTTTTCTGTTACTTGTTAATGTTCAGAATCTATGTCTGCCTTTTTATTTCATCCAAAAAAGTGAAAAATCTATACAACAACTTAAAGATAAATGTTGTTTGTAAAGATCCATAATTGATTTTAAATCTCAGTGTTACACCTGTTACACTGTCTTTACTACAGAATGGTTCATACTTTGTGTAATATTGATTCTGATGTTCAGTATCTAATAAATGTGCAACAAGGACTAAACACTTGTTATGAAATATCATTGTGATATGTAGTCGTATTTATATACAAGATTTTAAATAGTTCTTATATTGGTGTTTTAAAGTACAACATTGTTTTAATTCAAGATTTCAAAACAATGGTGGGAGTGGTGTTATGATTGATAAGTTAGATTGACATATTGTATAATATGGATCTGTTTTGAGCTATACTGTTGAGTTTACCCCAATTCTCCTAGACAACCACTTTTTTTACCTGTTCTTGTAAGTTTATGTAGATTGCAGAATCAATTCTAATTTCTCTGTAGTCTGACAGGTACCTCAGGCCCCAGGACACAAAATGATCAATATTTGGTATAATTATTTTTGCTGCTACAATTTCTGTGAAAACCCATCAATCATGATGTATGCTTTAAAAGGCATTTACTTCTTTCTCTGTTTGTTATGGTGACTCAAGTGTCTGTGCACTGTAATGGCTAAAAAAACCTCTCACAACCTGTAACTCCTTCTGACTTACTCTGTAATGGTTAAGGCCAAACTCTCACAACCTGTAACTCCTCCTGACTTACTCTGTAATGACTTAAGACCAAACTCTCACAAACTGTAACTCCTCTTGACTAACACTGTAATGGTTAAGGCCAAACTCTCACAACCTGTAACTCCTGCTGACTTGCACTGTAATGGCTAAGGCCAAACTCTCACAACATGTAACTCCTCCTGACTTACTCTGTAATGGTTAAGGCCAAACTCTCACAACCTGTAACTCCTGCTGACTTACTCTGTAATGGTTAAGGCCAAACTCTCACAACCTGTAACTCCTTCTGACTTACTCTGTAATGACTGAAGGCCAAACTCTCAAAACATGTAACTCCTCCTGACTTACTCTGTAATGGTTAAGGCCAAACTCTCACAACCTGTAACTCCTCCTGACTTACTCTGTAATGGTTAAGGCCAAACTCTCACAACCTGTAACTCCTCCTGACTTACTCTGTAATGACTTAAGGCCAAACTCTCACAACCTGTAACTCCTCCTGACTAACACTGTAATGGTTAAGGCCAAACTCTCACAACCTGTAACTCCTTCTGACTTACTCTGTAGTGACTTAAGGCCAAACTCTCACAACCTGTAACTCCTGCTGACTTACTCTGTAATGACTGAAGGCCAAACTCTCACAACCTGTAACTCCTGCTGACTTACTCTGTAATGACTTAAGGCCAAACTCTCACAACCTGTAACTCCTCCTGACTTACTCTGTAATGGTTAAGGCCAAACTCTCACAACCTGTAACTCCTCCTGACTTACTCTGTAATGACTTAAGGTCAAACTCTCACAACCTGTAATTCCTCCTGACTTACTCTGTAATGACTTAAGGCCAAACTCTCACAACCTGTAACTCCTCCTGACTTACTCTTTAATGGTTAAGGCCAAACTCTCACAACTTGTAACTCCTCCTGACTTACTCTGTAATGACTTAAGGCCAAACTCTCACCACCTGTAACTCCTGCTGACTTACTCTGTAATGGTTAAGGCCAAACTCTCACAACCTGTAACTCCTGCTGACTTGCACTGTAATGGTTAAGGCCAAACTCTCACAACCTGTAACTCCTCCTGACTTACTCTGTAATGGTTAAGGCCAAACTCTCACAACCTGTAACTCCTGCTGACTTACTCTGTAATGACTGAAGGCCAAACTCTCACAACCTGTAACTCCTGCTGACTTACTCTGTAATGACTGAAGGCCAAACTCTCACAACCTGTAACTCCTGCTGACTTACTCTGTAACGGTTAAGGCCAAATTCTCACAACCTGTAACTCCTCCTGACTTGCACTGTAATGGTTAAGGCCAAACTCTCACAACCTGTAACTCCTCCTGACTTACTCTGTAATGGTTAAGGCCAAACTCTCACAACCTGTAACTCCTGCTGACTTACTCTGTAATGACTGAAGGCCAAACTCTCACAACCTGTAACTCCTGCTGACTTACTCTGTAATGACTGAAGGCCAAACTCTCACAACCTGTAACTCCTGCTGACTTACTCTGTAATGGTTAAGGCCAAACTCTCACAACCTGTAACTCCTGCTGACTTGCACTGTAATGGTTAAGGCCAAACTCTCACAACCTGTAACTCCTCCTGACTTACTCTTTAATGGTTAAGGCCAAACTCTCACCACCTGTAACTCCTGCTGACTTACTCTGTAATGACTGAAGGCCAAACTCTCACAACCTGTAACTCCTCCTGACTTACTCTGTAATGACTGAAGGCCAAACTCTCACAACTTGTAACTCCTCCTGACTTACTCTGTAATGACTTAAGGCCAAACTCTCACAACCTGTAACTCCTCCTGACTTACTCTGTAATGGTTAAGGCCAAACTCTCACAACCTGTAACTCCTGCTGACTTGCACTGTAATGGTTAAGGCCAAACTCTCACAACCTGTAACTCCTCCTGACTTACTTTGTAATGGTTAAGGCCAAACTCTCACAACCTGTAACTCCTGCTGACTTACTCTTTAATGACTGAAGGCCAAACTCTCACAACCTGTAACTCCTCCTGACTTACTCTGTAATGACTTAAGGCCAAACTCTCACACCCTGTAACTCCTCCCGACTTACTCTGTAATGACTGAAGGCCAAACTCTCACAACCTGTAACTCCTGCTGACTTACACTGTAATGGTTAAGGCCAAACTCTCACAACTTGTAACTCCTCCTGACTTACTCTGTAATGACTTAAGGCCAAACTCTCACAACCTGTAACTCCTCCTGACTTACTCTGTAATGACTTAAGGCCAAACTCTCACAACCTGTAACTCCTCCTGACTTACTCTGTAATGACTGAAGGCCAAACTCTCACAACCTGTAACTCCTCCTGACTTACTCTGTAATGACTTAAGGCCAAACTCTCACAACCTGTAACTCCTCCTGACTTACTCTGTAATGACTGAAGGCCAAACTCTCACAACCTGTAACTCCTCTTGACTTACTCTGTAGTGACTGAAGGCCAAACTCTCACAACCTGTAACTCCTCCCGACTTACTCTGTAATGACTGAAGGCCAAACTCTCACAACCTGTAACTCCTCCCGACTTACTCTGTAATGACTGCAGGCCAAAATCTCACAACCTGTAACTCCTTTTGACTTACTCTGTAATGGTTAAGGCCAAACTCTCACAACCTGTAACTCCTGCTGACTTACTCTGTAATGGTTAAGGCCAAACTCTAATAACCAACACTTTATTTTCTAATATTCTGATATGATAACAATTTATTTTTAGACTCATTGTTTTTGATATGTTATAAAAATGACAAAACTTTCACTTTTTTATGTTACAGTGGGATTCTCAGGAAATCTGTTATTAAAGAACATGTTATAGGAATCAATTGAAACCTTGGGATAATCACAGCTTTAGCTGTAATACAGATAATATATTTTATGATAATTTGATGTATATAGATTGATATAGATACATGTATTCTATTTTTTTAAGACATTCAAATGTCAACAATTGTCCTGTATGTTTTGTAATGATTCCTAATTGATGTTTGTTCACACCATACCCCCTAGGGTTACTGCATGTTGACTTGTAGATCACACAAACCCTCCACATCACTAATACTGATTGTTTTAATTTCCAGGTCTAGGAGTATACACATCACTAATACTGATTGTTTCAATTTCTAGGTCTAGGAGTATACACGTATGAAAACAAATACTTTAGATATGAAGGACAGTGGAGAAATGGTAAAAAACATGGTAAGTTCTATTTTATTAATTTTGTTTAAAATTGTCAGTTTGATTTTGGTGATTTGAAAATATTTGACCTGGACTCTGATTTGGAATCATCTCTGTGGTCATTTTTCACCAAGTGTGTTTCTTTATGTTGAACTGACTCTGATGGCACTTAACTATAAAATGATCGCTTCAGGAGATCGTTCTGCATTGAGAACCCCCCCGCCCCCCTCCTCCCCCCACCCCACCCCCATTCTAGTTAGATCTATGCATTTTCTGTTAAATTTACATATTTTCATTGTGTTTTATTGTTTGGTCATTTGCCCCTCCACACTTTACTTTGTATTATGTTCTCACCATGTGGTATTATTCATCACATATTGGTGCAGTGGAGATTGTACTCGTTTTTCACATGTTTAAGCGTTAGTACCTGTACAGATGCCTATGTCACCAGGCATGCTTTAAGAATTGTGGCTAATCCAGCTTCACAAAATGTGGGTATTTTACAACCTTAAGTATGCTTACCATTCGAGATCAATAGTATTGATTGATACAAGCTGATAAAACAAATGATGTGTGAAGGTTATATCGTAAATCAAGTTTATACAACATGTAGTGTAAAATACAATAGTTATATCAAATGGTGACTTATATAATATTGAATGTTAATCAGGCCAGTTAAGCTAGGAATTATTAAAGTTACAATCAACATACAAAGTTATGACTAGACTTTACATGTATGTACATGTGAATATTGTTCCAAAGAGTTTTAGGATTTTATCAAAATTGTGGCAGTCATGCTGAAAAAAGCATTATTCCACTTTCTGAATATTCATTTAAAACTGGTGAAAGGGGAGACTTGTTTAATTCTCTAGCTTTGTGAAATATAGACCACTGCAGTAAATATATCAGGTAATCAATATTTCTGTTCAGATCAACAAAAGTCCTCGTATATACTCATAAAGTTCAACTGATACATTCCCAGAGTAAGGAGGATTATTTCTAACCTTTCTGATACTGGTTTTTATAGTCATGAATACATGTACTGTAATAACTTTGTGGTAAGTTATTGAAGTTTAAGACTTGTATATAACTAACAACTTCCTAATATGTACATTGGTTAATTACATCTGTAATAAGTGATGATCTCAAAATAGAATCATTAATGCAAACACAATGACAGATTACAGGTCAACCGTTTCTATCACAAAGGTCATTACAAGGTTTGCTATTGTACATTACTGACGCTGTGTTAGGGCAGGCGTCTGTCGGCTTTAAGTCCAATAATCTGTACATATACAGGTTAGGACCCGATATTTAACAAAGGGACAGTATGCAGGTGAAGTTTTTAGAGTGGAAATAGTTATTAAAGGAACAGTCCAGTCTACTAGTCATTGTTGATGATCCTCAGATCTTGTACAATGTAATTTAGACTTAATAGAATGATCAATAAAAAATGGTTAAAGCGTTCATTTTCAATTGATGAAATCTAGCTTAGCACTCCGAATAGACTTCTGTATTTATCCTGTAGTAAGCCCATGTCAGGTAATAAGCCCACCCCTATATATTGTGTTTCAGTAATGTCTCTACAATTAACATGATGTAGCAATAACTACCTGTGACAAGTATTACTGATATCAGTGAGGTGGTATCAGTACATAGCTTGGTCATAATTTGTGACACTTAAGTTTTACACCAATGGAGTTTTTCAATATTTAATTATCCACTTTTCAACTTGTTTTGTTTTGACACTCCTGTTTAAGTGAACATTTAAATGTAATTTTACAGGAGTATAAAAGTGATGGTAACACTATCTGTTGCTGTCTATAGTGGATTGTGATCCTAAACACAGCTCCTATTTCCCTCCAACAGCTTACTGTTAACCCTTGGGTAGAATTATCACAAAATCTCAAGGATCCCTTACCAGCTAGATACTGTTGTAGTGTCTATTTTAGTCCCCGGTTAACCATAATTAGATCAGCTGGAGATATCCTATTAAAACATTAATGAATCAGTTCTTAAAGAGTATTTTCCTAAATGACTATCTCACACAGAGGTCTCTATTCATGCTTGAAACATATCCTAGCTGATGAGAATATTATATCCTAGCTGATGAGAATATTATATCCTAACTGATGAGAATATTATATCCTAGCTGATGAGAACATTATATCCTAACTGATGAGAACTAGCTGATGAGAACATTATATCCTAGCTGATGAGAATATTATATTTTAGCTGATGAGAATATTATATTTTAGCTGATGAGAATATTATATCCTAGCTGATGAGAATATTATATCCTAGCTGATGAGAATATTATATCCTAGCTGATGAGAATATTATATCCTAGCTGATGAGAATATTATATCCTAGCTGATGAGAATATTATATCCTAGCTGATGAGAATATTATATCCTAGCTGATGAGAATATTATATCCTAGCTGAGGAGAATATCATATGTCCTAACTGATGAGAACTAGCTGATGAGAACATTATATCCTAGCTGATGAGAATATTATATCCTAGCTGATGAGAATATTATATCCTAGCTGAGGAGAATATCATATGTCCTAACTGATGAGAACTAGCTGATGAGAACATTATATCCTAGCTGATGAGAATATTATATCCTAGCTGATGAGAATATTATATCCTAGCTGAGGAGAATATCATATGTCCTAACTGATGAGAACTAGCTGATGAGAACATTATATCCTAGCTGATGAGAATATTATATCCTAGCTGATGAGAATATTATATCCTAACTTATGAGAATATGATAGAACATTATATTCTAGCTGATGAGAATATTGATATCCTGGCTGATGAGAATATTATATCCTAACTGATGAGAATATTATATCCTAACTTATGAGAACTAGCTGATGAGAACATTATATTCTAGCTGATGAGAATATTGATATCCTGGCTGATGAGAATATTATATCCTAGCTGATGAGAATAGTGATATCCTGGCTGATGAGAATATTATATCCTAGCTGATGAGAATATTTATATCCTATCTGATGAGAATATTATATCCTACCTGATGAGAATATTATATCCTAACTGATGAGAATATTATATCCTAGCTGATGAAAACATTATATCCTAACTGATGAGAATATTATATCCTAACTGATGAGAATATTATATCCTAGCTGATGAGAATATTTATATCCTAGCTGATGAGAATATTATATCCTAGCTGATGAGAATATTATATCCTAGCTGAAGAGAATATCATATGTCCTAACTGATGAGAACTAGCTGATGAGAACATTATATCCTAGCTGATGAGAACATTATATCCTAGCTGATGAGAATATTTATATCCTAGCTGATGAGAATATTATATTTTAGCTGATGAGAATATCATATGTCCTAACTGATGAGAACTAGCTGATGAGAACATTATATCCTAGCTGATGAGAACATTATATCCTAGCTGATGAGAATATTATATCCTAGCTGAGGAGAATATCATATGTCCTAACTGATGAGAACTAGCTGATGAGAACATTATATCCTAGCTGATGAGAACATTATATCCTAGCTGATGAGAATATTATATCCTAGCTGAGGAGAATATCATATGTCCTAACTGATGAGAACTAGCTGATGAGAACATTATATCCTAGCTGATGAGAACATTATATCCTAGCTGATGAGAATATTTATATCCTAGCTGATGAGAATATTATATTTTAGCTGATGAGAATATCATATGTCCTAACTGATGAGAACTAGCTGATGAGAACATTATATCCTAGCTGATGAGAACATTATATCCTAGCTGATGAGAACATTATATTCTAGCTGATGAGAATATTATATCCTAGCTGATGAGAATATTATATCCTAACTTATGAGAACTAGCTGATGAGAACATTATATTCTAGCTGATGAGAATATTGATATCCTGGCTGATGAGAATATTATATCCTAACTGATGAGAATATTATATCCTAACTTATGAGAACTAGCTGATGAGAACATTATATTCTAGCTGATGAGAATATTGATATCCTGGCTGATGAGAATATTATGTCCTAGCTGATGAGAATATTGATATCCTGGCTGATGAGAATATTATGTCCTAGCTGATGAGAATATTTATATCCTAGCTGATGAGAATATTATATCCTAGCTGATGAGAATATTATATCCTAACTGATGAGAATATTATATCCTAGCTGATGAAAACATTATATCCTAACTGATGAGAATATTATATCCTAACTGATGAGAATATTATATCCTAGCTGATGAGAATATTTATATCCTAGCTGATGAGAATATTATATCCTAGCTGAGGAGAATATCATATGTCCTAACTGATGAGAACTAGCTGATGAGAACATTATATCCTAGCTGATGAGAACATTATATCCTAGCTGATGAGAATATCATATGTCCTAACTGATGAGAACTAGCTGATGAGAACATTATATTCTAGCTGATGAGAATATTATATCCTAACTAATGAGAATATTATATCCTAACTGATGAGAATATTATATCCTGGCTGATGAGAATATTTATATCCTAGCTGATGAGAATATTATATCCTAACTGATGAAAACTAGCTGATGAGAACATTATATCCTAGCTGATGAGAACATTATATCCTAGCTGATGAGAACATTATATCCTAACTGATGAGAATATTATATCCTAGCTGATGAAAACATTATATCCTAACTGATGAGAATATTATATCCTGTCTGATGAGAATATTGATATCCTGGCTGATGAGAATATTATATCCTAGCTGATGAGAATATTGATATCCTGGCTGATGAGAATATTATATCCTAGCTGATGAGAATATTTATATCCTAGCTGATGAGATTATCATATCCTAGCTGATGAGAATATTATATCTTAACTGATGAGAATATTTATATCCTAGCTGATGAGAATATTATATCCTAGCTGATGAGAACATTATATCCTAACTGATGAGAATATTATATCCTAGCTGATGAAAACATTATATCCTAACTGATGAGAATATTATATCCTGGCTGATGAGAATATTGATATCCTGGCTGATGAGAATATCATATCCTAGCTGATGAGAATATTGATATCCTGGCTGATGAGAATATTATATCCTAGCTGATGAGAATATTCATATCCTAGCTGATGAGAATATTATATCCTAGCTGATGAGAATATTATATCCTAGCTGATGAAAACATTATATCCTAACTGATGAGAATATTATATCCTAACTGATGAGAATATTATATCCTAGCTGATGAGAATATTTATATCCTAACTGATGAGAATATTATATCCTAACTGATGAGAATATTATATCCTAGCTGATGAGAATATTCATATCCTAGCTGATGAGAATATTATATCCTAGCTGATGAGAATATTATATCCTAGCTGATGAAAACATTATATCCTAACTGATGAGAATATTATATCCTAACTGATGAGAATATTATATCCTAGCTGATGAGAATATTTATATCCTAACTGATGAGAATATTATATCCTAACTGATGAGAATATTATATCCTAGCTGATGAGAATATATATATCCTAGCTGATGAGAATATTATATCCTAGCTGAGGAGAATATTATATCCTACCTGAGGAGAATATCATATGTCCTAACTTATGAGAACTAGCTGATGAGAACATTATATTCTAGCTGATGAGAATTTTATATCCTAACTGATGAGAATATTATATCCTAGCTGATGAGAATATTTATATCCTAGCTGATGAGAATATTATATCCTAGCTGATGAAAACATTATATCCTAACTGATGAGAATATTATATCCTAACTGATGAGAATATTATATCCTAGCTGATGAGAATATTTATATCCTAGCTGATGAGAATATTATATCCTAGCTGAGGAGAATATCATATGTCCTAAGTGATGAGAACTAGCTGATGAGAACATTATATCCTAGCTGATGAGAATATTATATCCTAGCTGATGAGAATATTATATCCTAGCTGATGAGAATATTATATCCTAGCTGAGGAGAATATCATATGTCCTAACTGATGAGAACTAGATGATGAGAACATTATATCCTAGCTGATGAGAACATTATATCCTAACTGATAAGAATATCATATCCTAGCTGATGAAAACATTATATCCTAACTGATGAGAATATTATATCCTGGCTGATGAGAATATTGATATCCTGGCTGATGAGAATATTATATCCTAGATGATGAGAATATTTATATCCTAGCTGATGAGAATATTGATATCCTGGCTGATGAGAATATTATATCCTAGATGATGAGAATATTTATATCCTAGCTGATGAGAATATTATATCCTAGCTGAGGAGAATATCATATGTCCTAACTTATGAGAACTAGCTGATGAGAACATTATATTCTAGCTGATGAGAATATTATATCCTAACTGATGAGAATATTATATCCTAGCTGATGAGAATATTTATATCCTAGCTGATGAGAATATTATATCCTAGCTGATGAGAATATTATATCCTAGTTGATGAGAATATTATATCCTAGCTGATGAGAATATTATATCCTAACTGATGAGAATATTATATCCTCACTGATGAGAATATTATATCCTAGCTGATGAGAATATTTATATTCTAGCTGATGAGAATATTATATCCTAGCTGAGGAGAATATCATATGTCCTAACTGATGAGAACTAGCTGATGAGAACATTATATTCTAGCTGATGAGAATATTATATCCTAACTGATGAGAATATTATATCCTAATTGATGAGAATATTTATATCCTAGCTGATGAGAATATTATATCCTAGCTGATGAGAATATTATATCCTAGCTGATGAGAATATTATATCTTAACTTATGAGAACTAGCTGATGAGAACATTATATTCTAGCTGATGAGAATATTATATCCTAACTGATGAGAATATTATATCCTAACTGATGAAAACTAGCTGATGAGAACATTATATCCTAGCTGATGAGAACATTATATATCCTAGCTGATGAGAATATTATATCCTAACTGATGAAAACTAGCTGATGAGAACATTATATCCTAGCTGATGAGAACATTATATATCCTAGCTGATGAGAATATTATATCCTAACTTATGAGAACTAGCTGATGAGAACATTATATCCTAGCTGATGAGAATATTGATATCCTGGCTGATGAGAATATTATATCCGGGCTGATGAGAATATTGATATCCTGGCTGATGAGAATATTATATCCTAGCTGGTAAGAATATTGATATCCTGGCTGATGAGAATATTATATCCTAGCTGATGAGAATATTATATCCTAGCTGATGAGAATATTGAAAATATCATTGAATCTTAAAACAGAACAACATTGGTTTTCTTTTGATGTATTTTTATTTGAGTTTTTTCAGTTGCTTTTACTGGAAACTTATAATCTGTTAGTTCAGTTGCCTAGTAAAAGTTAAAAATTTTGTTGCTGAAAATTAAAGAATTGCCATGTTTCAGAAATCACCAGATATTGGTATTGATTGTGTTTAAATAGATAGCAAAATGATTGTATTAAGATAGATATCAGATTTAATGATTAAATCTAAATATAGAACATAAAAATTATTTAACTTCAGAAATTTTTCTACCTCAAGTTCAAAGTGTTAATGTCACTCAGGTGACCTACAGGTAATGGTAGTGAGGTGTCACTCCATATTTCTGTACCCGTCAGTTTTCTGTACTCGTCAGTGACGTCAGTAATTGTACAGATGTCATCGTTAACTCCAATCCTATTGTTCTAAATATCAGATCATTAAATAGGTGTATTGATTTGAACTGTTTGATCAGTCATCGTGTTTTAGTTTTATAAATATACCGTATTCAGCACATCCTCTAGGGCAGTACACTCTTATCCTTGTTAAATCCAACCAAACATGACCAGCGTGGTCTTTTGTACTCAGTCTTTTATCAATGAGTATTGGATTTTGTAATGAATATTTTGTTATACTTAACATTGTAATAATCGTCTGTGAAGCATTAAGTATAGTTATAATAAGCCAGTCATATACAATTTATTGCATGGCTGTAAACCGTTAACCCAAAACAGATAGAACATGACTTGTGTTTCAAAGTCTATAACTGATAGACATATAAAATGTTAGGTGGTATCAAACATACTGTTTTTTATTTAGGGTAATTCTGTTTCAAAGCCTAATGCTATAATATCATCACACAGCCAATGATTACAGAATTTTTTCATAAATGCCATCTCAAAGTGAATGATATCATCATTTGACCAAAATGTGGTATTCTAATTGAATGTTATATGACAACATTGATATGAAGAAAAGTAAATTTAGATATAAATCGTGCATTAGATAAAATCACATTGTTTACTGATGGTATGTATGTTTATGTGAGAGAAATCATTCATTAGGATCATATTGACTGGTTTAAGGTTGAGAGAATTTGTTCACCAGAAAAAAATCTGTATATAAATATAAGTGTATGTATATCCTACAATAAGCCATTGTGGTAATCCTAGGTCATTGCTAGTTTACTGTTCAGTAGAATTAGTTCACTTGTTTTGGTATAATGTCCTGTAATTAAATCTCATGCATACTCTATCTAGTATGGAGTTTTTTTTCGTTTTCCTCAAATAAACAGAACTGGCTGATGGTAGCATGTCAGTTTATTAGATTTACTGACGACAGCTTAAGATCATTTTTACTTCCTGTAAAGGACAACAAGCTAAAAATTTAAATAACATCAGCTTGTATATGAGACACTGTGTACATTAAAGGTTGATTCTTGTGGGACATTCTCTGTATCGTAATCTTTAATTGTTCATGGAAAAAAATGAATTTTTATATCAATATTCTGTGATAATACAAGGACATTGTAAATAAAACATCAATTAACATTGTTCTGTATTCTAGTATGTTTCTAAATCGTCATTAACATTGTTCTGTATTCTAGCGTGTTTCTAAATCATCATTAACATTGTTCTGTATTCTAGTATGTTTCTAAATCATCATTAACATTGTTCTGTATTCTAGTATGTTTCTAAATCATCATTAACATTGTTCTGTATTCTAGCGTGTTTCTAAATCGTCATTAACATTGTTCTGTATTCTAGCGTGTTTCTAAATCGTCATTAACATTGTTCTGTATTCTAGCGTGTTTCTAAATCGTCATTAACATTGTTCTGTATTCTAGCGTGTTTCTAAATCGTCATTAACATTGTTCTGTATTCTAGCGTGTTTCTAAATCGTCATTAACATTGTTCTGTATTCTAGCGTGTTTCTAAATCGTCATTAACATTGTTCTGTATTCTAGTGTGTTTCTAAATCATCATTAACATTGTTCTGTATTCTGTATAACTTGTGATTTCCTGTCAGTGTATATTTTCAACATTTACAGGTCACGGAAAACTACAAATGCAAGATGGGAGTTATTATGAAGGAACTTTTACTGATGGTGAAATAAATGGTCATGGTTTTCGTTACTTTTCTACATCTGGATGTAAATATACAGGACAGTTCCATAAAGGAGAACTTCATGGCACAGGAAAAATGATATACACTGATGGATCTATATATGATGGTCAGTGGTACCGCAATCGTAAACATGGTGAGTAACTGTGAGAGGTACCTAAACCATTAACAAGGTTAGTAACTGTGAGAGGTACCTAAACCATTAACATGGTTAGTAAATGTGAGAGGTACCGAAACCATTAACATGGTTAGTAACTGTGAGAGGTACCTAAACCATTAACATGGTTAGTAACTGTGAGAGGTACTGAAACCATTAGCAAGGTTAGTAACTGTGAGAGGTACCTAAACCATTAACATGGTTAGTAACTGTGAGAGGTACCTAAACCATTAACATGGTTAGTAACTGAGAAGTACTGAAACCATCAACATGGTGAGTAACTATGAGAGGTACTGAAACCATTAACATGGTGAGTAACTGTGAGAGGTACCGAAACCATTAACATGGTAAGTAACTTTGAGAGGTACCAAAACCATTAACATGGTTAGTAACTGTGAGAGGTACCTAAACCATTAACATGGTTAGTAACTGTGAGAGGTACCACAAACATTGCGTTACAGCCCATCCACAGTGACAGAAGGAGTAATACTCCACCTTGTTATTACTATTAGATCTAAGGCAGTTGTTGATGTTTATGTACAGGTTATGGTGTGATGCGATCTTCAGACAGTGCTGTGTACGAGGGAGCCTATCAGTCTAACCTACGACATGGAGAAGGACTTATGTTATACTCGTAAGTTAGTTTATCATTCTAAATAAGTGATCAGTATGAAAGTATTTTAATTTGCTTTTCAACAAAACACTGCAAGATTTCAAGAGTGTAATTAACATGCAGATTTGAGGTTAATTTGTACGTGTATGTCATTTTAAAAAGTTTTTAGAATACATGTTTTGTATTTTTTTCTATTCAACTAACAGTTTAATAGTGTGCATCTAATGTTGGGTAGATTTTAGACCTAAATAAAGACCAGTCAGGAAATATAAAACATCTGTACCATGTATGATTTATATCCACATTCAGCATCAGAATACATGTTTTATCTACATAGTTTTGTCCCTTTAATGTGAATGCAGGGTCTGATTATAAAAATCCACCAGAATTCTGATTAAGCCAAGAATAAATGTCATGGTGTTTATTACAGAGTAAGAAGAGTGATTTCTTGTTTGATACCCTGAGTGTATGGGTTTGGGTATTAGCTAGAAACTCGTCTCACACCTGATATTGTCCAAAGTCACCTCTGTGCACCTTTCTATCCCAACACTGTGCACACTTAACCCTGATTTCAATTACATAAAATTCATGTAATAGTTTAGTGACAATGGCCCCTTCCATCAGCCCTTAATTGATAGATAGTATCCCTTCTATCAGTCCTTAATTGATAGATAGTATCCCTTCCATCAGCCCCTAATTGATAGATAGTATCCCTTCTATCAGTCCTTAATTGATAGACAGTGTCCCTTCTATCAGTCCTTAATTGATAGATAGTGTCCCTTCTATCAGTCCTTAATTGATAGATAGTATCCCTTCTATCAGTCCTTAATTGATAGATAGTGTCCCTTCTATCAGTCCTTAATTGATAGATAGTGTCCCTTCTATCAGTCCTTAATTGATAGATAGTGTCCCTTCTATCAGTCCTTAATTGATAGATAGTATCCCTTCTATCAGTCCTTAATTGATAGATAGTATCCCTTCTATCAGTCCTTAATTGATAGATAGTATCCCTTCTATCAGTCCTTAATTGATAGATAGTGTCCCTTCTATCAGTCCTTAATTGATAGATAGTATCCCTTCTATCAGTCCTTAATTAATAGACAGTGTCCCTTCTATATATATATAGATAGTATCCCTTCTATCAGTCCTTAATTGATAGATAGTATCCCTTCTATCAGTCCTTAATTGATAGATAGTGTCCCTTCTATCAGTCCCTAATTGATAGATAGTGTCCCTTCTGTCAGTCCTTAATTGATAGATAGTGTCTGTTCTATCAGTCCTTAATTGATAGATAGTATCCCTTCTATCAGTCCTTAATTGATAGACAGTGTCCCTTCTATATATATATAGATAGTGTCCCTTCTATCAGTCCTTAATTGATAGACAGTGTCCCTTCTATCAGTCCTTAATTGATAGATAGTGTCCCTTCTATCAGTCCTTAATTGATAGATAGTGTCCCTTCTATCAGTCCCTAATTGATAGATAGTATCCCTTCTATCAGTCCTTAATTGATAGATAGTATCCCTTCTATCAGTCCTTAATTGATAGACAGTGTCCCTTCTATATATATATAGATAGTGTCCCTTCTGTCAGTCCTTAATTGATAGACAGTGTCCCTTCTATATATATATAGATAGTGTCCCTTCTATCAGTCCCTAATTGATAAATAGTGTCCCTTCTATCAGTCCTTAATTGATAGATAGTGTCCCTTCTATATATATATAGATAGTGTCCCTTCTATCAGTCCTTAATTGATAGATAGTGTCCCTTCTATATATATATAGATAGTGTCCCTTCTATCAGTCCTTAATTGATAGACAGTGTCCCTTCTATCAGTCCTTAATTGATAGATAGTATCCCTTCTATCAGTCCTTAATTGATAGATAGTATCCCTTCTATCAGTCCTTAATTGATAGATAGTGTCCCTTCTATCAGTCCTTAATTGATAGATAGAGTCTGTTCTATCAATCCTTAATTAATTAACAAAATATTATAAAAGGTGGCTGGTATGGATTACCTTGTGCTTCTCCTGATTCAGAATCTTTGTAAGCATCACATAAAGCTTAAACTCCACATGAAATCACCGTGTAATCCTAGGTAAACAGTAATATTAGGACCATTTTGTTGTGTAAGTTCTCGCTCATTTAAATTATAATTTCTGATTTGATCTAAGATCAACAAAGTATATTCAGTATTGTTTTTGAGTCGTGTCATGTGAGAGTTATACATTATAAAATGATGTAGATTTGTCAGAATCATGTGTATGATACATGTATATTCTGTTAGAAACATGAAACTCAATTCTCTGTAAATTTTCAACTTTATAAGAGGATCTTGTGTAAAAGTGTTTGTAATTAGATGAGTCAGCAGTTGATGTGTATTAATTAGCACTGACCCTGTGTGTTGTCCTAACTGATTTACCCTACCTGTTTGTAGATCTGTGCGTGTTGACGGCGTCAGGTATACTGTAATTATATGTTTTTGTGTGGGTTTGTTTACAAGTCGACCACTCTCTGTACCATACATTGGTATATATATATATAACGTTATGTCAGTCATATCTAATACCCCAAACTTGTTTATATCACAAGTGCAAACAGCAATACTGTTGTAATGGAAGAGAAAGGAAGACATTCTCGTGTACTTTTATAAAATTATGAAAAATTATAATGTCTGAGCTAGATATTGTCAGTAAATTCAGACATCTTTGCTGATAATAAAAAATCACATTACCATGGCTGATGTGAAGTGTAACACAGAGCTACAAATTTTGATCAAAGTGTTAAAAGAGAGGATTGATATGGATCAGTGAATGATACTGCGTGGTCGACTTGTTATAGGAGCTCAACTTTATATGTTTATATCCACCAAAGCCAAAAGAAAACAGAATTCAACTAAAGAAACACCAGTCATCTTATTTGAATTCTGGAATGAGGTTTTACTATGTGGTTTGTGCATGCTCATCAAAGTTTATTTTCCAAACCATTTTTAATTTTCATTTTGACTAATTTCCCTTTTATGAGTGGTTATCGCCCCTGCTTGATATATTCCAAATATTGAAAAAAAGAAATTATCTTGAGTGAGTTTTATAAAGATCTTTGACAAAAAGTTAATAGACTGCATGCTTAAAAACAAAATTTGTGTTTTAGATGGACTGCCATTTCAATTTTGTTTTGTTGCAAAATAGTCTTCCAAAGTATATTCCCCTATGATCATGTTTGTTAATAACTGTGAGATTTTGACAAAGGCTTTTTCAGCATGATGGACATGTTACTTAATTCCTGAACTTTGTAAATGTTTTAAGAGTTTGTTGAACAGAGCATCATGAGCTACATTCTAATACTGACATGTCCTAACAGTTGAATCTTTAACAAATTAAAACCAATTCACTTTTAAAAAAAAACTATGAAAACGTTTTAAAAAGATTATCCCAAAATCCTCTCAGCCCTTTTCTGAGTGCTTCATGTACAATGTATCTCTGAATTCAACTTTTATTCTTCATCAGAGAATGTCTATTTGAATTGTTACTTCCTGCCATTGATTCAGCTGTCACATGTGTTATTACAGAATATAGATCTGTTTAGCAATCGGTGGCGGAACTTCTCCACCATTTCAGGCTTCAGTTCACATTATCTGGTAAAGTTAGAGGTCCTGCTACATAAAGTAGATCAATGTTATATTGTAATTATGTAGTTTAAACCATTGGGTTTTATTACAGTACTGTTTAAATACGATGATAGACTATGTCAGTATAATATCACCCATTATATACCTTTGCTAAACACTCATGTAATAGTACCTCGCAGAGCTTTGATTGGCTGAATGTCTTCATTGTTCTATTGTAAAGTCATAACTTAGTGTATCATATGCAGTGTGATGCCACCAAAGATCTTTAGATACACTGAATATTACATTCACTTTCGTAGGATTTAATTGTGAAACACATATTTTCATTTTACCTCTTCAGATGCCCAATAAAGTGAAAAATGCTCAAATTTGTTTTATAAATTTCTTATGAATGGAAATGTATGTAATATCCTCTATACATGAAATTAAAGTTGATAGCCTGAAATACAAGGATTCAGAATAAATACTGTCGCTGACAAACTAATTTCTGTCACTGTGTCAAAAGTGAAATCACTGCACATGTATTTCATATATATCACTTCAAATGTTTTCAATTCAATGTAACTTATAGATGCAAAAATAAAAGTTTAATGGTAAAATACAATCACAAATTGTGTAACGGTCAATGTCAACACTATTGATACAATGTATCTATAAGGAGAAGGTTTGGACTGCTGTCGGTTCATGTAACCATGTGGATGGTGGGTGTACTCTCAGATTCTAGCAGGCCTTTTATAGCTTGGACATATTTGCTTCGTTTTTAGATGGTTTGGATTTTTCAGATTATGTTTTGAGGTGGACAGATGCATTTAAAATCCTGATTATTTATGTTTTAATGATATATTTCATTTTAAAGTGTGTGTGACTGTATTTTGTTATATTTTCACTTTTTATAAACTATGTAATATTCACATGACACACTTTCTATTTATCCAGGTATCTGCCACGATAGAACACAAAGCTTACTCATCAATAACTCAACACAAAGTCACAGATTTATATTTTGTTATCACTTCTATTGTTTAACATCCTACAGGTGCTAATCTCTTCAGAGTTACCATAATATCTTAAGCTTATTTATTAATTGTGGCGTTTGTTGAATCAATCATTTGTGAAAGTTTACATCAACATAAGTCTATACAAAAATCAACAATATATATGTTTGATGTAGGTCATTAATCTCTGTTGGTAAGCAACTCCTTTATCTTAGTTATATAGGGTATAGAGTGGAAATATTCATTATCAAAAGTTGTTTTATTCTCATTTCAGGTGTAGTTTTAAAGCACAGTATTTTTACCTAGAGAAGTAAAAAAAAATGTTTGCTTGCTTTTTAAAGTAAGATCTTCTGTTGCTTTTATAAAGATGTAATCATATTATCCATGAATGATGTAACACAACCATAACATTTGTGTTCTCACGGTATAATGGAGCTTTAATATACAACATATATATCACCAAACCTTGTCTTTTAGATAACTATTTATCTACAACATATACCTACAGAGAGAGGTACTGGGTGGTGACTCTAACTTTACATCAACTTTATATAATCATATGATCTGTGTCATTACTTCAGGGAAAGCATTTGTCACACCAATGATAAATATCTGGGGATGGAATAATGACACCGAGTGTCACACTAATGATAAATATCTGGGGATGGAATAACGACACTGAGTGTCACACCAATGATAAATATTTGGGGACGGAATAATGACACCGAGTGTCAGGTCCATGATAAATATCTGGGGATGGAATAATGACACTGAGTGTCAGGTCAATCATAAATATCTGAGGATGGAATAATGACACTGAGTGTCACACTAATGATAAATATCTGGGGATGGAATAATGACACTGAGTGTCACACTAATGATAAATATCTGGGGATGGAATAATGACACTGAGTGTCACACTAATGATAAATATCTGGGGATGGAATAATGACACTGAGTGTCACACTAATGATAAATATCTGGGGATGGAATAACGACACTGAATGTCACACCAATGATAAATATCTGGGAATGGAATAATGACACCGAGTGTCAGGTCCATGATAAATATCTGGGGATGGAATAATGACACTGAGTGTCAGGTCAATGATAAATATCTGAGGATGGAATAATGACACTGAGTGTCACACTAATGATAAATATCTGGGGATGGAATAATGACACTGAGTGTCAGGTCAATGATAAATATCTGGGGATGGAATAATGACACTGAGTGTCAGGTCAATGATAAATATCTGGGGATGGAATAATGAAACTGAGTGTCACACTAATGATAAATATCTGGGGATGGAATAATGACACTGAGTGTCAGGTCAATGATAAATATCTGGGGATGGAAAAATGACACTGAGTGTCACACTAATGATAAATATCTGGGGATGGAATAATGACACTGAGTGTCACACTAATGATAAATATCTGGGGATGGAATAATGACACTGAGTGTCACACTAATGATAAATATCTGGGGATGGAATAATGACACTGAGTGTCACACTAATGATAAATATCTGGGGATGGAATAATGACACTGAGTGTCACACTAATGATAAATATCTGGGGATGGAATAATGACACTGAGTGTCACACTAATGATAAATATCTGGGGATGGAATAATGACACTGAGTGTCACACTAATGATAAATATCTGGGGATGGAATAATGACACTGAGTGTCACACTAATGATAAATATCTGGGGATGGAATAATGACACTGAGTGTCACACTAATGATAAATATCTGGGGATGGAATAATGACACTGAGTGTCACACCAATGATAAATATCTGGTGATGGAATAATGACACTGAGTGTCACACTAATGATAAATATCTGGGGATGGAATAATGACACTGAGTGTCACACTCATGATAAATATCTGGGGATGGAATAATGACACTGAGTGTCACACCAATGATAAATATCTGGGGATGGAATAATGACACAGAGTGTCAGGTCAATGATGATTATCTGGGGATGGAATAATGACACTGAGTGTCACACTAATGATAAATATCTGGGGATGGAATAATGACACTGAGTGTCAGGTCAATGATGAATATCTGGGGATGGAATAATGACACTGAGTGTCACACTAATGATAAATATCTGGGGATGGAATAATGACACTGAGTGTCACACTAATGATAAATATCTGGGGATGGAATAATGACACACCAATGAGTGTCAGAGTGTCAAATGATGAATATCTGGGGATGGAATAATGACACTGAGTGTCACACTAATGATAAATATCTGGGGATGGAATAATGACACTGAGTGTCACACTAATGATAAATATCTGGGGATGGAATAATGACACTGAGTGTCACACTAATGATAAATATCTGGGGATGGAATAATGACACTGAGTGTCACACTAATGATAAATATCTGGGGATGGAATAATGACACTGAGTGTCAGGTCAATGATAAATATCTGGGGATGGAATAATGACACCGAGTGTCAGGTCAATGATAAATATCTGGGGATGGAATAATGACACTGAGTGTCACACCAATGATAAATATCTGGGGATGGAATAATGACACTGAGTGTCACACCAATGATAAATATCTGGGGATGGAATAATGACACTGAGTGTCAGGTCAATGATAAATATCTGGGGATGGAATAATGACACAGAGTGTCAGGTCAACGATAAATATCTGGGGATGGAATAATGACACTGAGTGTCACACTAATGATAAATATCTGGGGATGGAATAATGACACTGAGTGTCAGGTCAATGATAAATATCTGGGGATGGAATAATGACACTGAGTGTCACACCAATGATAAATATCTGGGGATG